CTGGACCGGTATCAAATCCAGGACCCTTTGGTCCTTAGGCTGGCCCTCCATCCACTGAGCCAAACTGGTTAGGGCAATGACTGCTCTTCTTTATAATGAAATTACATTTTCTTCTAAAATTGAATTTTCTGTAATGGAATGGAATACACTCTTCCTTTTCTTTTTAATCCCTCACTGACTTTTTTTTTTTTTTTAAACCAAAGAGTATCCCTATAATCAAGTCACAATTCTCATAACATTGAAAGATACATTCATTTTTTTTTACAGCATGAGACATACAAATATCATTTTTCCTTTTTAAACAACAAAGTAAAAGTTAAGTTTCAATCTTTTGCCCATAGAAAAATATTTTCTATATCATTTATACTACAATAGGAAAATTTGACAGTATTTAACTAAAACTTCTATGAGTACAAGGTTTTAAAACGTTTTCATTCCTGTATTTTAAATTTTGAAAGGTTTCAGGAAGTTAAACATTAGGATTTCCCCTTAAAATTGTAGCCTTTAACTTGAACCATTACTAATACCTTTCACTTTGTAAATTTAAAAAAGATCAGCTGACTTATTTAGGTAATGAGCCATGTATAGTCAGCGTTGATGAACTGCACTCCAGCAGATACTACTTCTGGCTGCCCATTTAGCGTGCATTACTAAAATGAAAACAATGAATATTAAACTTTAGAAATCAGCAGGAAAAAACATGCAAATAAATAGCAGCAAATTTAAATAGGAAACAGAAATAACAATGGATGTTTTCACCAAGATTATGGAAATAAAATGTCTAATTTCTGACTGAAATAGGGCTAATTTTTGATAACATTGAAAGGCTTATTGTAATTGCTAAGAATGAAATCTGTATACAAAAAATGGTGTTGATGATAGTTGTAGACATTGTAAAGAAAGCTGAACCCCCAAAATTCAATTTAGAGATTCATTTCATGAGCTCTTCATAAAATTGCTGAAATTATCTATTAGCAGTTAGCCCTAAAATGTTTTATTTTGTAAGTGTGTTTCTACGTAACTCTCAAAGAACTTTACAAAATGGTTGCTTGTGTTGTGATCACACTGAGGCACCAATAAATTTTTGTCAATGGATCAGTAGTTCTGATATATGATTCAATTAATCCAGTGGGTTTTAATGAACAGAGCTATTTCACTTGGAGGAAACAACACAAACACAAATGCTGCAAGGACAGTGGTGGGATAGTTGAAGCAAACGGGAAGTAAGCAATGTTAATAAAGTCACTTTGTGGATGGGACAATTACATAAAAGCATACTGTGGCATAATTGATCTTGGTCTTGTCATGTTACTAAGAGATGTTTATTCAACAAATATTTACCATAATGGATTACTCTAAGGGACTTTGAATCAAAATTCACCTGAACTACAAAATAATCACAAATGAAAGAGATGTAAACTTACCCCACATTACTGTGGCATAAATAATTTTTATGAATTCAAACCTACTTTGGCAACCTTGCCGTCAGAATATTTTAAACATTCAAAACACAGATATTAAATAGAACACTGTTAAAAATTATTTCCTTCGTTCTTCCTAGTAAGATTATAAAACAAATAATGCTTTAAAATTCTACTACATGTTCATATTATGCACATAAATTGATTGCAAGTGGACATATATTCTAAATCTTAGTTTTATGTTGTAAGTATTTTTAAATATTAGCCTTCTAATTTGCACTTAGAATGTTTTTACACTGCACAGACAGCTTAAATACCTCACAAAAGCTTATGATTTGTTAAGGAAGCATGGCTAACAAACTGGATCAGGTCCCAATGAGGACCACTTCGAAAAGTCTAGTTATTTTCTAAACTAAGTGACATCAGTGAAATCACTGCTTGAATATAATTCTTGCGCTAAAACCCTAAAATTCATGAGAATTTATGATAATCACACATGTTGCCTAAAGTAACAGTGAAATTAGATAAAATCTTTCAGGTTCCTTTTAGCTCTAATGTTGTACATAGTGCTGCTAGTGGAAACAGGCTTTTGCTCAAATACCTGATTAGACCTGATCAGACCTGCCAACAACTGTACAGTTATAAACAACTGTACAGTTAAAAAGGAGGCCATACAAAGGAAATCAAAATAGATTCTGTTACTCGGCAACTATTATATTTTGAATGAGTGCACCGGTGTAACAAATACTGCCAATCCTTTTTGTGAATGTAAAGTCTATTCCAAAATATTCCTCATCCTGTGTAATGAGTGTGACACAAATCAGATGCTCCAACATACATTTGAAATGAACATCATAAAACCATCGTAAATCAGAGAGGAAAGATTTTCACAAACATTTCTTAGCATTTAAAAAAGCCCCTGGTTCACAAATAACTATTTCTACTTGTGAGAGTAACAGTCAATGTTGATTGACTGGGGGTAAAGGGAGGGGGCAGTAGTTTAGATACAAGAAATCTGGCATTTTTATCACTTGATGTTACATGATATGAGTGAAATCTAGACCTAATTGGTGTACCAAAGCTAGGATGATTCTAGAACCCTACATAGATCAATAAGCAGGTTAAAAAATTCTTAGGTATAATGGATAAAATCTTATCTATTGAGTGAACAAGGAAGCATAATTAGCATATTTTAAAATTTAAGACCCCAATAAATGTGCCTTTAAAAGCATTTTTTTTGTACATCACAATACTGATAGAGAACACCTCCCAAATGAACAATTGATATATGCAGGACTTAAACACTGGCCTTAACTGTTAAAAAGGGCAGCAGTGCTCATTGCCAACAATTATGAATCTCAGAAGTATAAACATTAAGCCCTAAAGAACATGCCAACCATGCCACTTATCTGTTTATCTCTATACAACTGCATCATTTGTTTTCTAATCATATTCTATCTACATAAAACAGACCAATTTTCTTTTTAATTCATATGAAAAAACTGCCCAGTTTTTAATTATGTAGACCTGAACATGATTTCACTTTTCAACTGATCATCATATAATATAGCAGCCTATATTACATTTACCTGTTGTCAGAAAATGGAATGTTCAAATAAAACTACAGTTTATTTACTCTTATATTTTCTTGATTATAAAATTCAGAATTAGATAAGAGAGTTTCTCTTAGACATACTGGTTATATTTACTATTCTTTTTAGAAAACTTAAAATATTTTAATAATAATTTATTTGGTATCTTGGCTATTAATGATTAGGACTTAACTTCCTAAAATTTATTATTTTGGATTTTGACTATCTGAAAGAACATCATTTAGATTATACTGAAGATTTTAAAATGTACATTTCCCTCCTCATACTAAATGGCATCTCAAAATGTCCTAAATTTTATCAATACTATTCTGAAATATTCAGAAAATATCAGTAAAAGTCAATTTCAACCATAATCCATATAAAATAATTGTGTAATTATAACACTTCAATAGGTGAGCAATTTTCCACTTAAATTAAAATGGCAATTTAAAAATGCTATTTCCCTACAGACTTAAAACAAAAACACCTGAAAAGGAACATATACAAGTCCTTAAAGGGCATCAGATCCTCCATCAGGCAGGACAGCTAACATTCTCCATGAATTAATATGCTTATAACCTAGTAAGTACATGTAAATTGGAGTAACTTAATAATATACAAAAATGACCAGAAAAATCCTCATTTCAGTTACCGAGGGATTTCATTTCAGTAACTGAGGGATTATACTCTGAAACAAGTCAAACAATGTTTCTCATTCCTTATTTGGAGTATCCTAACTAATAGACTAGTGTGAACAAAATGTGATATGAACTGAAATGAATGCTGAAGAGTAATAATTCCGTTAGTAATAGAAATAAACAACTAACTGGTCTAACCCTAGCTTAGAGTATGAATATGTTTAACTTTAATGTGCATATTAGATGCCATTTCTAAAATGAGGGATAAAACAAATATAAATTTGAAGAATAAAGCAACTTTTAACTTGAGCTGCTAAACTGTAACCCTTGTCTTTCAGGAAAGGAATGTGCAGATTTGAACAATTCCATAGCAGCAGAACGCTCTCAGAACACAAATTACCTTTGCTTCCAGTGACAAAATAGAGGGTCTGAGTAAGAAACACAATTTCCTTACCCTTCTTTGACTGCATACCTCTCAATACAAGAAGTTATTTTCAAACGTGAACTGATTAAAAATGCATAAAGATGTAAGTGTACAGTATACACACATACCTCCTAGTGGGTCAAATGAGTGCCTCTTCATTAGACAAACAAAGATGTCTCAAGGCACTTACGGGCTTAAGACATAATACATGCATTCCTTTATATTAAGTACATGAAATCACATGATTTGGAATAAGCCAACCTTATGGCAAATATATTACATTATTAAATTCAAGAAAATTTGTAGATTCATATTTATATTTTCTGTAAGATGCTGGTAAATGGACAATGTGCAGCATTTCCTGGGAAAAGCAATTCCACCTTTCTTCTTATGAACAGCAGGTCTCTACAGGGGGAGTGAAGGGAAAGATGTGCTGCATCCATAGGCAGTGTATTGGCTAATATTGAAAATGATATTGCTAAAATTTAAAAAATAAAATCTGGTAATCAAGTAACACAGTAAGTACACGAATCACTGCAAACACCAGAGCTGACTCTTGATGTTTACTTCTTTTTGCTTTCAAAGTACAGGTGTGTAACAGAGATGACAGAATTCTGAGTCTTGTTTGTGGCAATTCTTCTGGTAGGGGTCTGCATGGCACCACTACAAAATTTCATAAGTTACCCTGAACATACTCAGTTATTCACTATTTGTTCGAAACAAAGCATGAAATAGTCTTGAAACACATGAATTATATGTTTTGAGAGTGACTTTTTTTAAACATAAAGTGCAACAGTGCTGAAGTTTTCAGTTTTTGTCAGTTCTTCATTTTTTGATAGATGCCATTTCCTGCAAGTAGTATTATGGCACAGTGAATATAATTGGAAAGCAGTTTTCTAACACATACTCCAGATTTTTTGCTTTCTTATTTATTTGATGATGTTGTTAAGGGTTTAACAAATCCTTCTTCATAAACTTTCAAAATAGCTTCACATACAAATCTGTATTGACTCTGAAAAAGAAAGTATGAAAAATAGAATTGATTAGAAAAACTGGAAAATGAAACAAAGAAATAACAAACAAGTCACTTGACTTGCTTATAAAAGAAATACAAAATAAAACAACACAGGGATACCATTCTTCATGAACAGACTAACAAAAAATAACAGTCTGACAACACATTTTGTTGGAAAAACTCCCTCATGTATTGCTAATATTCCTAGCATTGCCACAATCTCTATGGATGGCAATTTGGCAGCATCTAACAAAATTACATTAATTTATCTATTGACCCAGCAATCCTACTTTTAGGAACCTGCCAAAGATAAACTAGAAAAAGAAATTGAAAACATATATTCATAAGTGAGGCTATTATGTTATTTATAATAATTAAAAAGTAAAAGTGGCCCTAACCGGTTTGGCTCAGTGGAGAGTGTCAGTCTGTGGACTGAAAGGTCTCAGGTTCAATTCCGGTTAAGGGCATATACCTTGGTTGTGGGCACATCCCCAGTAGGAGGTGTGCAGGAGACAGCTGATCAGTGCTTCTCCCCCTAGATGTTTCTAACTCTCTCTCCCTTCCTCTCCGCAAAAAAATCAATAAAATATATATTAAAAAAAAAAAAAAGTAAAAGCGATCCTCTCCCCATCAGGAAGGGGCTGTGAGTGACCTGCGGCACATCCTACAGTGGGTACAAGGCAGCGGGGAGGAAGAGAAGACTAAAGGCCAGAGTGACTCCAGTAGATGTTAAGTAAAAACAGCAGGTGGAGAAAATGACACACAGTATGTTATTTTATAAAGGAAAGGAGGATATAAACATCTCTCTCAATATATGGAGTGGGGTAAAGGTAGCTTTACAGTTGTGAGCACCCAAAACACAGGATTTATTCTTGTATTATAAAAGCAAGGGAAGAATACTAGTATATCGTTAAAAAATGATTTCCTATAAAATAAAATAAAATAAAATAAAATAAAAAGGTTCATGAGAAGGCTAGAGACTAGACTTCATTGAATACACTTCCTTTTTTTTTACAGATTTTACTTTGGAACCATATAAATATACCCCATAATTAAACCATTAATTTAAAAAAAATCTAAAAATTGAAAATAACATGAAACAAATCAATGTGTATATCTAGCTGATGGCAGAACTAAGCTATCGCAAGGGACTTTAAAACAGTAATTTGACTGTATATCTTTTGTAGAATATACCCCAAAAGCAAAAAGAACTGTACAAAAATTTTAAGTTATTTTCAGTAATCTACTGTCTGTGGTAGTTGTGTTAGTTTAGTTGTTCTGAGATTGTTCTTGTGTAATCAAATCAAAACAAATGGGTATTTGCGATATTCTAAGTCTTTCACTGCTGGTATTGCAGAGAACCAGCATTTTTGTTAAAGAAGAAAGGTGGTAAAGATGTAAGGTAGAAGACATTAAGTAAAAACTGAATTTGTATTGGAAGCACCAGTATTAATTCATAAGTTTGTTTTCCTACTTCTGGCTATTGAAGATTTCTATAGACAAATACCAACACTAACCCCAAAGCAATGGGAAACCTTAGTGGTCACAGGTGCTCCCTAACGTAATTTTTCAATAAAAAGAACCAGTACTTTTTGGAGAAATTGCAGACTCTAAGTTTGGGGCAGGAAGTGTACAAAGCTAGGGCCTAGACAGGTAGGTCCCTCTGACTAGCCTGCGGGGATGAGGCTGAAACCAGCTCTGCAAGGTCCCCCTGGGGTCCCGGATTGTGAGAGGGGAGTTCTCGGGTAACACAGCCTGCTATTGGGGCTTGTGGGGGAGGCAACCAATCAACGTCTCTCTCACATTGATTTTTTTTCTCTGTTTTTTCCTCCCTCCCTTCCATGCTCTCTAAAATCAATGGAAAAATATCCTTGGGTGAGGATTAATAAAAACCTAAAAAACAAAAATAAAACTGCTGCAGAATGTCCAATTACCAACATAACCAATTACCATGAGAAATGTGGTATGATCATGTGTTAATCACTCGCTAAACATTGTTTATGAGCAGTGACTCTTAGATTTAAATATGTAGACTACAGTTGTAGATATGTAATATTAATATTTATTTTTATTTTTTTAAAATATATTTTGTTGATTTTGTACAGAGAGAAAGGGAGAGAGATAGAGAGTTAGAAACATCGATGAGAGAAAGTCATTGATCAGCTGCCTCTTGCACACCCCCTACTGGGGATATGCCTGCAACCAAGGTACATGCCCTTGACCGGAATCGAACCCGGGTCCCTTCAGTCCCCAAGCCGACGCTCTATCCATTGAGCCAAACCATCTCGGCTGTAATATTTATTTATGTCAGTGAAATTACTAGTGTTTTTTCCAACGTACGATTTATTCACTAAAATTTGTTAGAAGTAACAGTGGGAGAAACCAATATGGCGGTATAGGTAAACACCTGAAATTGCTGCCTCACACAACCACTTCAAAACTACAACTGCCTGGCTGAGTGGAAATTCTACAACTAGAAGGAAAGAGAAAAGCACACTGAGACTCACAGGAGGTGCAGGAGTAAACTGCAGAGGTACGAAGGCGTGCACTCGGAAAGGGCTAGCAACTGAGTATGCGGTTGTCTTTTTCAATTGGGAGAGAGACAAAAGCTCCCGATTGCTCTGAACTCCAGTTCCGGGCGAGCCTCTGGGGACCCAGGCTCATATGGGGAGAAACTGGAGTGTCTAGCATTGGGCAGAACTCGAGAGTAGCTTTCTCTTAGAGGTGCTTGCAGCGATTACCTTGGGACACTTAGACCTGGGCCTCTTAGGGTGGGGCTGAGGATCAGCCAGAGCTGTTTGCTCCGCCCTGTTTAGACCCTGAGACCTCGCCCCACTAGCTGTGCACAGAGACCTTTGCATATGAATGGCCTGGCCCTTTGCAATCTAAAATTACCTAACAAACTGCAGCTGGGTGAAAGAGACCCAGAACATCCAAAAGAAGGCCCAAGGCCCCATAGCAGCATGCATCTGGGCACCTCCAAACCCAAAACAAAGAAGAGGAATCTGCAGATCTCTCTGTTGCTCCTGCTGGGTGGCCTCAGGTAGAGGCTAACAGCACCTCCTTAGAGATCCAAGAGCCAGTGTACCAAGTGGACAGAGTGAAACCATCCAGATTACAACTCCTCAGATCCATAAGGGACACACTCAGGGGCAGACTCAGTGAGCACCAAAGCCCCACTGAAGCAAGTCCTGCCCCATAAGGGTGTCTCCAGCACAGAAGTTCTCCCATCGTAAATACAACTGATTCTCACAGTCAATTGGCCTGGAGGTCAATTCCTCCCAGTGATACCAACAACAATCAAGGCTCAACTACAAAAGACTGTGCACACAGCCCACAAGGGGGACACCAAGAGTGTCCACCTCAGGTAACAATGGAGGCTAAGCCACTGGGCCCTACAAGACACCTAGCACACAAAGGAAAGCAGCCAAAATGAAGAGACAAAGAAACATGTCACAAATGAAAGAAATGGAAGAAAGCAAACTATTGGACATAGAGTTCAAAACCAGTTATAAGGTTACTCAAGAATTTTCTAGGAACTGTCAATAAATTTAGCCAGATCCTTGAGGATATGAAAAAGGATCAACTAGAAAATTAAGTATATGCTGACTGAAATAAAGAATAATATATAGAGACTCAACAGCTGACTAGAAGATTGCAAGAATCAAGTCAAAGACTGAAATACAAAAAAGCAAAAAACACCCAACCGGAAAAGCAAAAAGTATCCAAAAATATGAAGACAGTGTAAGGAGCCTCTGGGAAAACCTCAAGTGTACCAACATCTGAATTAAGGAGGTGCCAGAAGAAGAGAGAGAGCAAAATATTGAAGACCTATTTGAAGTTAATGACTGAAAATTTACCTCACTTGTTGAAATAGACTTACAAGTCCAGGAAGCACAGAGAATCCTAAAAAAAAAAAAAAAAAAAAAAAAAAAAAAAAAAAAAAAAAAAAAAAAAAAAGGAATCCAAAGAGGACCACACTAAGACACATCATAATTAAAATGTCAAGAGCAAAATACAAAGAGAGAATATTAAAAGCAGCAAGAGAAAAGCAGTTAGTTACCTACAAGGGAGCACCCATACGACTGTCAGCTGATTTCTCAATAGAAACTATGCAGGCCAGATAGAGTGGTAAGAAATATTCTAAGTGATGAACAGCAAGAACCTACAACCAAGATTTTTTTCCCTAGCAAAGCTGTCATTCAGTACTGAAGGTCAGATAAAGAGCTTCACAGATAAGAAAAGGCTAAAGGGCCGGGACCAGTTTGGCTCAGTGGATAGAGCGTCGGCCTGCGGACTAAAGGGTCCCGGGTTCGATTCTGGTCAAGGGCATGTACCTTGGTTGCGGGCACATCCCCAGTTGGGGGTGTGCAAGAGGCAGCTGGTCGATGTTTCTCTCTCATCGATGTTTCTAGCTCTCTGTCCCTCTCAATTCCTCTCTGTGTAAAATCAATAAAATATATATATATATATAAAAAAAAAAAGAAAAAAAAAAGAAAAAAAAAAAAAAAAGAAAAGGCTAAAGGACTTCATCAACACCAAACCAGTATTATATGAAATACTGAAAGGTATTCTTTAAGAAGAGAAAGGAGAAGAAAAAGGTGAAGATAAAAATTATGAACAACAAATACATATCTATCAACAAGTGAATCTAAACATCAAGTGAATAAAAAATCATGAACAGAATAAACTGGTGAATATAATAGAATCAGGTGCATAGAAAGGAAGTGGACTGACAATTCTCCGGGAGAAAAGGGTATGGGGGGTGCGGGAAGAGCCTGGACAAAAATCGTACACCTATGGATGAGGACAGTTGGGGGGGTAAGGTAGAGGGTGGGCTGGGAACCAGGTGGAGGGGAACTAAGGGAGGGAAAAAGAGGAACAACTGTAATAATCTGAACAATAAAGATTTATTTTTTAAAAAGTAAAAGTGAATCATTAACAAAAAAACTTTGTTAATTTAATTGTAAGCAAATCTTGGTTAAAAGCATTTTGAAATTAACAGGATATTAATTTTCACATACGTCATATGGACTGGAAATTTTGTCTGTTAACTTCAAGGTCTGTTAAATTGATATCTGCAAATGAGGGTTTACTGTGCAGAGAAAACTACCTTGGAATGCAATCAGCAAAATCCAGACTAGGAAACTATGTAGCACAAACCACCTGCTTTGTTCATCAAATAAATGGTAAGAAACAAACAAACAAACAAGAAAAGATGTTTGTGGAAATTATAGATTAAAAGATTTTGGAGATATATAAACTAACCAAAATGTATGAACCACATCTGGAACCTGATTTTACATACAATGTAAAAACAAAAACAAAACTCATTAAGTATGATATGATCCAGCAATTTGACTTCCATGCATATATCCAAAAAAAATTGAAAGCAGGATCTCAAAGAGATATGCATGTACTTCTATGTGCACAACAGCATTATTTGCAATCACCAACAGGTAAAACAATGTCCACTGACATGTGAGAGGATAATCAAAATGTGGTCTATACACACAATGAAATATTTTTAGCCTTAAAAGAAAGGAAATTCTGACACATGCTAACACCTGGATGAACCTCAAAGATATTATGCTAAGTGAAATAAGCCAATTAAAAAAAGACGAAACCTATATAATTGTACATATATGAGGTATCTAGAAAGTCAAATTCATAAAAACAGAAAGTAAAATGAAGGTTACCAGAAACTGGGAGGAGAAAGGATGAGGAGTTATTGTTTAAGGGGTAGATTTTAGTTTACAAGATGAAAAAGTTTTAGAGATTGGCTATCTAACAGTGTGAATATATTCAAGGCTACTGAATTGTACACTTAAAAATTGTTAAGTTTTATGTTGTGTACTTTATCACAATTAAAAATAAAAAATACATTATGTCGTTATGTGTGAATATAGATTCAAAAACCTCTAGGAAATACTAGCAAATTAAATGAAGCAACATATTAAAAGAATTATATACTATCTTCAAGTAAGATTTATCCCAGAAATGAAAGGTTCATTTAATATCCCCAAATCAATGTAATAGACAGTAATAGAATGAAATACAAAATCCACATGATCATCTCAATAGACCCAGAAAAAGCATTTGACAAAATTATGTACCTTCTTAAGATGAAACACTCAATAGTCTTGTAACAGGAAACTTTGTCAACTTGATAAAGAACATTTTCGTAAAACCCTTTAAATATTATGCTAATTTAAAAAAGCCAATTATAAAGACCAAACTATATGAATTCATTCATATTAAAGGTCCAGAATAGGTAAACTTATAGAGACAAAGTAGATGAGTGGTTGCCTAGGGCTGGGCCAGGTGAGACTGGGAAGGTATTAAGGAAGATAAGTATAAAGTTTCTTTTTGGGGGTGGTGAGACATTCTAAAATCAGATAGTAATGAAGGTTGTAAAACTATGTGATTACTAAAAACAACTGAACTGTAGACTTTAAGAGGGTAAATTTTATGGTATGTGAATTACATTTTAATAGTTATCCTAAAATTTACAAACCATGAACTATATGAGACAACTGAAAGTTTGAATACTGTTATTTGATAATATTAAGGAATTACTTGTTAATTATACTTGTATGATACTCATATTGTGATTTTGTTTAGAAGGAAAAGTACTCCTTATCTATTTGGGATACACATTAAAATATTTATAGATAAAATTATATGACATCTAGATTTGCTTCAAATATGGAGAGAGTGGCAGTATAGATGAAACAATATGGCAAATGTTGCTGGATCTGAGTACTCAACATAGTGTTGATTATATTGTTTACTTGTGTATATTTGAAATTTTTTATAATATAAAGGTAAAAACAAGGCATTTACTAGGATACATGTCAATTCACTATAGTAAGTTTAATGCTAACATTCCACAATGGCTTATTATAAAAAGTTATCTTAGCACTAACTAAAACTCCATAATTCCTGTGAACTTGAAACATTATTCAGAGTCAGTGTGGAATTTCTATGATTTTTGTTGTTGCAATTTAAATGCTTATATAAAAGAGAAAGGCATTTTGCCACAGCTGTGTCACAGAGCAGGCCTATCAAGAGTCTCCAGGACAAGGACACTCTCATTCTCAGCATTCCTCCTGACTAAGTAATATAGGGCAAGTTCCTCTGAGCCTGTCTAAACACTCAAAAATTATGCAGGAGTGGTGTTGACAAACATTTCCTGTAAAAGACCAGATAGTAAATATTTTAGGTTTTTCAGAACATATGGTGTCTGTTGCAACTTCTCAACTTTGCTATTAGAGTGTGAAAGCAGCCATAAGTAATATAAATACAAATGAACATGGCTGTATTCCAATAAAACTCTATTTACAAAAACAAGTGGCAGGCCAGACTTGGCTCATAGGCATTATTCAACAAACTCCTGTGAAAGGAGTTATTAGCTCCTGGGAGGATATTAAAAAGCTATGAATATGGTTCAGAATACACACTGATAACAAAAATCATCATGTTGAGAATGCCTGAGGTACAGTACTTACAGGTGTCTGGATCATCATGGCTCGTTGATCTCTCATTGTTCTTACAATGTCTAATGGATAAACTGGTTGATTGCATTCAATGAGACACATGGCTGTTTCCATAGTAATAAGAACCCCAGTTCTTCCAATCCCAGCACTGAAAAAGGCAAATATGGGGCAAGGATACTATTCTGTTAAACTTCTATGGATTTTGTGTAGAAAATTAAAGTTTTGAATCATAAAACAGAACAATTTGATTTAATGTTTAATATTAGGAAAGTAGCAAGCCAACTAGAAATTTTGAAAATTGATAAAAATTTCACACAATGCAGATTAAAATGGTTTATATCAACACCATCCCCCCATTATTAGCTATAAAAAATACTATTTTAAAAGTTACATTTCAGTTTTTAAAATATGTACAAGATATAAAAGCTAATTGGAGCAACTTCACTTTAAAATGAAAAATAAAAGTGGAAGGGATCCAAGATGACAATGGAGTAAGTAGAAGATACACCCAGGACCTAATTGGAATTAGAAGCAAAATACAGAATTATCAACCCGTAGCCAAAATACAGAATAGCCAACTGAAGTCTAGCTGAATAGAAGGCTTATAACCAAGAATTTACAGAAGAAGCCAATGGAAACTGGTAGGAAGTGCAGAGGTGTGAAAAGGGCTGGCCCCAATCCCACAGGCAGTGGCTGAGGTTCTGGAGGAATATCTCAGCTGCAGGGTGTTTCCCCTGATAAGCATGGGATCTCAAGTCCAACCCTGGCTCCCCAGCCCAAAGCACCAGAGCCTAGAGGAGGTGCACACATTACATCTGGTTGTGAGTGGCAGTGGAATTTCTGTTCCCACCAGGGAGAGATTGAGTCCCTGGAGTGCACTAAAAAACTCAGGAGCTGTCTTAAATGGCCAACACACATAATTTTGTTCATAGCCACTCACCCTCGCTCTTGCCACTCACATAGGGAGGGCAGAATAGATGAGTCATGTGAGGAGAGACTGGGGTTTGTGGCTCTGGGGACAGAGCTGAGTGGACAATTGCCAGGACCCCCTGTGCTAAGTCACTGTACTGCATGCAGACACCATCTTTCTTGGTTGCAACATGCCTCTCCATGCAGCATCGCTTGGGAAAAGCAACTGCCCCATCATCTGGTCTTCCTGTTGAACCGTCCTATGGAGCTCCTGCTCTGCTAAGGATTCAACCAATGGCATGGGCAATGAGAGGTCTGGCAAATTCAAGGGATGTCAGTGATTGAGTTGTATGACTTAGCGATGGGGGCCATTACCTCCCCTCTTTCCTGTGATCCTGACCGGCACCTTCCCCTCACGTAGATTCTCTAGCCCCACTCACTAAGCTCCTGGAGGTCCCACCCTCTTGACTCTTGCTGGTTCCTCCCTGCTGAGAAATGGGCAGAATCAAGGACAGTCTGAATTGTGTGGCTCTGGGGTAGGGTCTAAACCCTCCAACTTCCCCCAAACCTTACAGCACCTCCCCATCTCTTGACTCCCAGTGACCCCTTCCTGCTGAGATCAGGCTCGGGCAGAATCTGGGGCAGACTGAGTTGCAATGGCTCTAGGACAGAGGAAATTTTTCCCTTCATTATCTCAATTGGTGCTAAATCTTGGTCTGTTTAGCCCGCTAAACTTTGCTGGCCCCATCCTGATGACCTGCCCTACAACCAAGGTATGGGAATACCCCGTGGATGGCAGCTAGACTTTGTATATCCTGGGACATATGCTGAGTGCTCTCAGGCCCAACACTGGCACCAAGATTGAACCAGTATAGCCCTGGTCTGTGTGGTTTAGTTGTTTGGAGAGTTGTTCCATGCACCAGAAGGTTGCAGGTTCAATTCCCAGTCTGGGCACATACTAGGTTGTGGGCTCGATCCCCAGTTGGGACAAGTAAGGGAGGCAACCGATGTTTCTCTCTTTCTCCCTCCCTCTTTAAAATAAAAAATAACCACATGGGACATTGGTTTTTCTTTTCTTTTCTTTTTTTTTTTTTTTAAAGGTTAAAGCCCTATAGAAGTGGAGAACTCTTCTCACCTAGTGACTGACTTAAAACCTACTGCATGCAACTTAAGAACCTCCCGAGGCTCTTTCAGTGACTGAGCCTAACAGGTACCTGGCAGGAGGAAGTAGGCAGAGGTAGATCTTAAGGTTCCTAGGGACTTTTGCCGACATACACCTAGGCCCAGTACAGGTAAAAGTGAGTCTTGGTGCAGAGCTTGATCCTCCAACACACACCTAAGTCCAGAGGAGGCAGCCACAAACTGTGGATCACTCTGTAGTTCCAAACAGGTTGCCCAGGGCTAGTCACAGGCAGCTTCTGACATTGACCTGCACTAGCGTCCCTCCCAAGAGGCCCCATAACAAGCACACACAGTGGCCAGCTCCAGACAACACCAGAGAGGATTCAATTAGCTTCATAAGTAGCATATCCAAAGGTAAGTCTTGGTAGGCAGCAAACCCTGCTGAAGTGAATTCCACTTCATGTGGTCAGCACCTGCACGGCAGCTCATACTGTGATTAGGGTTGATCTTCACAGTCAGCCAGCCTGAGGGTTGATCCCACACATGAACTGGCCAAATAGCAATCAAGAATCAATTACAATAGGAGGGCTTATCCTGTGATGGTATTGGGTAGGGCCATTCCAAGAGAGGTGAGAGAGCTCACTAAATGTGGTAAGAGGGGCCAAAGGCCAGCAAGGAGTACCTTGCTGGGTGGGGGAAAACTAGATCTAATGCTTACATTATTGTATTTCATCAAGTCTAAGATAGCACCAATTGTATAACAAAGCCCATTTTCAGAGATGTAAAACTGTAAAAATGAAAAGCTTCTAACTCAGTGTAATAAAATATTTTTACTTCTTATGATAAACTTTCTGCCAATCATATTGGAACATACCCTCTGCTTTCTACCTTCAGAGAACAGTTATGAGTTCATTCTAATTATAGTGAAAGTCACAACTTAAGGATAAAATAAAATAATACTCCTCTTTAAAAATGCCAGCTATTTAAGCATAAAAGACAGAAAAAAAAATACCTGCAATGAACAACAACAGGTTCTTCCTTGCCGGCCCTCTTATTTCGTACATGACAAACAAAGTCCAGAAAGTCACTGGAATCATCAGGGACACCATGGTCAGGCCAGGCTGTGTACTGGATCTGAATGAGTTGACGACTCTCATTTTTCTAAATGTAAAATAAAAATTATGCACTTTAATTTAGAAATTATCTTTAAAATATAAATGAATATTCATATCATTTTAATTTTAGAAGAAGAGTAAAAGAAACTACTCCTACTACCTCTCCCCAAAGTAATAAATATGCACAATAAAACCCAAAATTTCAATAAAAGAGAAAAACATTTTATAGAAACAGTTGTATCTATCAGTATTCATTACTTGGATCATTCCTCTTCTTATAACTCAATTTCTATATTTGTAAAGTATGTTCAAGATGATAATCAAGTAAACAAAGACAAGTCCTAGAAAATCATTTAAAGAAAACTAAAGAACTGTTGGATGAACATCAAAACATTTTTTTTAAACAAAGTTGAGCTAATTCTAAAAAATTAGTGAAATCATGGAAATCAGGAAAATAACTTTTCAAGATAAATGTAGATTAAAAACTGAAGATCAAAAAAGTCGGGGCTTAATTCTTTTTGCCCTGAGGAGTTGGTAGAAAAGAGAAAAAATTTTTGGATTTATACATCTTGACTCTGTTAAGTATTTTAGAACATCACTTTAGTTACAAATGAAACAACATCTACACTTCAAAGACAGTGTAGATATGTTGAAAAAATTCTAGAAGAGAATCAGCTTATGCTCAATAATCGATGGTTAGTCATTCAACAATATGAAATCTGGTTACTGCCATTTACATTAAAGGGCATTTCTAGAAAAGACCATGAAAGTAAAAGTTAATTAAGAAAATGACCTATGTGCCCAGCTGGTGTGCCTCAGTAGTTGAATGTCAACCTATGAACCAGGAAGTCACAGTTTGATTACAGTCAGGTCCGGGTTGCTAGGAGGCATGCAGGAGGCAGATGATCAATGATTCTCAACATTGATGTTTCTATTTCTCTCTCCCTCTCCCTTCCTGTCTGAAATCAATGAAAAAATATTTTTTAAAAAAGAAAGGGACTGATAAAAGAATTCCTAATGATACCACAGTATAATGTAATAATGAATTTTTCAGAATCCTTAACAATATAGAATGAATGAAAAGCATCTAATATACACCGAGTGGCCAGATTATTTTGCATTCAGAGATCATAATAATCTGGCCACTCAGTGTATATAGATTACTTTTGATTACTATTAAAAAAAAAATTTGCCCTGCCCTGTGTTTCTCATTAGTTACAGTATCAGCCTGTGCACTGAAGGGTCACAGGTTTGATTCCTGGTCAGGGCACATACCTTGGTTGCAGGTTTTATCCATAGCACTGACCAGAGAGTGAGGGAGGCAACCAATTGATTTATCTCAAGACACTGTTGTTTTTCTCTCTCTCCCTCCCTTGCTCTCCCCCTTCCACTCTTTCTAAAAGTCAATGGAAAAAACATCCTTGGGTGAGGATTAACAACAAAAACAACAACAACAACAAACCTAAGAGGGGGGATTTAATAGTGCCAATAACCTAGAAGAATGGGTCATATAAAAATCATATTTTAATTAGTTTTGGGATAGTGTTTGTCTCTATCTCTCTATCCAAGTATGTATGTGTTTACATGATAGCAAATATATTTTCTTTTATTTCTCCCCCATCATTTAAAAAAAATCTTTATTTTTCATATTATAATATTACAGATGTCCCTCTTTTTCCCTCCATAGCTCTCCTCTACCCGGTTCAGCCCACCCCAGGCCCTAGCCACCCCACTGTCCGCATCCATAGGTACTGCATACATTCATATAAGATCTTCGTTCAATCTCTTCCTGCACCCTCCTAAAATCCCTTCCCCTGAGAATTGTTTGTCTGCTCCATTTCCATGTCTGATTCTCTTACATTCACCAGTTTATTCTGTTCATCAGATTTTTTTATTCATTTGATTTTTAGATTCACTTGTTGATATATACGTATTTGTTGTCACTTTGTTGTTCATAGTTTTTTTTTTTTTTTTTTTTTTTTTAATCTTTACCTTTTTCTTCTTCCTCTTCTTAAAGAATACCCTTCAGCCTTTCATAAAATACTGGTTGGGTGGTGAACTCCTTTAGTTTTTTTTTGTCTTCACTTGACCTTCAATTCTAAACGATTGAATTGAATCCCTGTATATTATTCTTTATTTCAGTCAGTGTATGCTTAATTTCTGATTGGTCATTTTCCATTTTTTTTTTTTTTTTTTTTTTTTTACATTCTCACTAAGATCCTTGAAGGTCTTACTAGGTTCCTCCAAGATTTCTAGATGATTCTTGAGTAACCTTATAACTGTGGTTTTGAACTCTATATCCAGTAGTTTGCTTTCTTCCATTTCTTTCATTTGTGACATGTTTCTTTGTCCCTGCATTTTGGCTGCATTCCTGTATTTATTTCTATGTATTGGTTAGTTGCTAAGTCTCCTTGAGTTGATAGAGTAGCCTTGTGTAACTGATGCCCTGTAGGGCCCAGGGGATCAGCCTCCCCAGTCACACTCTTGGTACAACCCTTTGTGAGTTGTGTGCACAGTCTTGTTATAGTTGAGCCTTGATTGCTGTTGATATCACTGGGAGAAATTGACCTCCAGGCCAATTGGCTGTGAGGACCAGATGTGTCTATAATGGAAGAGCTGCTGTGCAGGAAATACCCTTTTGGGGCAGGACTTGCTTCAATGGGGCTTTGGTGCTCACTGAACATGCCTCTTTAGTGTGTCACTTATGGATGTGAAGAGTTGTAATCTGGTATGGTCTTGCACTGATCATTGGGTACACTGGCTCTTGAATCTCCAAGGAGGTGCAAAGTCTGCCACTGCCTGGGGCCCCTCAGCAGGAGCTACAGAGAGATCTGCAGATTCCTCCTCTTTTTATCGGAAGTTCCCAGACAATGCCCAGCTGTGAAGAAAGGCAGGCTGGTGTGACCTTGGGCCTTCTTTTGATAGCTTTGGCTCCCTGACCCAGCTGCAGCTTGTTTGACAGGTTTTAGACTGAGAAAGGACAGGCCATTCATATGCAAAAGTTACTGTGCACAGCTTGGATGGGGTTGTAAATTGGGTAGGGTGGGAGCTCAGGTAATCTCCAGGGTGGAGCAAACAGCAAAAGCTACTAGTCAGCCCTGCACCAAAGAGGTCCCAGCACAGGAACAATGACCATTGCAAGCACCTCAGTCTGGAAGAAGGCTGCCCCCTAATTCCTGCCCCAATGCCAGACAGTCCAGTTTCTCCCCGTATGTGTCTGGGCTCCCCCAAGTCTCACCAGCATTGGAGCTCATAGCAAGCAGGAGCATGCATCTTCCTCCTGATTAAAAAAGTGGCACACTTGGGTGCCAGCCTATTCTGTGTCTCTGTACTTCTTACCAGTCTCAATGTGCTTTTTTCTTTACCTCTCTAGTTGTAGTACTTCCACTCAGCCATTTTTTCCATGGTTCTAGATGATAGTTGCTATGTATTTTAGCTGTAATTCTGATGTGATTGTGGGACGCAGCAAGTACAATTGTTTACTTATGCCATCATCTTGGTTTTCTCAGCAAATTTATTTTCTTAATTACATTTAGGTCACACTTTAGGGACTAATTTGCGTCTTAGTCTATATAGTTTTGATGTACTCAGGTTTGTAAAGAAAAGGCACTACAGTATATAAAACTGTTGTGAATAATCTACATATGGAGTACAATAAAGAGACTATGCTGAAGATAGCAGTATTAGTCTATGTAACTATTTATAACCTCTCATATCTACTTGAGAAAATGAAGAAATATCTTACTGGCTTGACTTGTTATACCAGTGGTCAGCAAACTCATTAGTCAACAGAACCAAGTATCAACAGTACAATGATTGAAATTTCTTTTGAGAGCCAAATTTTTTTAAACTTAAACTTCTTCTAATGCCACTTCTTCAAAATTGACTCTCCCAGGCTGTGGTATTTTGTGGAAGAGTCGTACTCAAGGGGCCAAAGTGCCGCATGCAGCTCGCGAGCTGCAGTTTGCAGACCACGGTGTTAGACTATGAGCTATATAGTATATAATCCTAAAAGCTAAATTCATTCTGATGGAATCTCTAGCCCATAAGGTTTTGGAACCATTCAATTTTTAATTTCTTATAACTTTAGCTTTAATCAATGTCAGATTGCTTTAATATAAGTCATCACAACATCTAGCTCCTCTTTTTTGGTAAGGTTCTACCTTTCTGTGTTCCTTTAATCATACTCAGGGGGGTGGAAGGTAATGGATTTCTCATTTCCAACGGGATAGGCCTGGGTCTTCACAGTTTGTTTGCTCTTCTCTAGCAATTGCTTCTTCTCACAGCGCCCTTCAAAACCAAAGGTGGCAGGGGAATATCTAGTTGCAGGCAGTAAAAGTGGGATACTGTTTCTAGCAGACTGACAGCAATACCACTTACCACAGAGATCTTCCAATTGGCTTATTAAGCCATCATTTATTAATCAGTTTCTATCTCTGGATCTGGATTTGGAAGCTAAGGAGAGTGACTCAGGTGGCAAGAAGAAGAAGAACAATCAGAAAGCTATGATGGCCTGGCTGGCATGGCTCAGTGGTTGAGCACTGACCTATAAACCAGGAGGTCTTGGTTCGATTCCCTCTGAGGCCATGTGCCTGAGTTTCAGGCTCGACCCTCCAGTGTGGGGCATGCAGGAGGTAGCCAATCAATAATTCTTTCTCATCATTGATGTGTCTCTCTCTCTCTCTCTCTCTCTCTCTCTCTCTCTCTCTCTCTCTCTCTCTCTCTCTTTCTCTCTCCCCCCCCCCGAAATACATAAAAATATATTTAAAAAGAAAGAAAGAAATATATGATCTATCTGCTGTAGGAGGGTCCTGCCTACGATCTTTCATCCTTAATACTAAGGAGACTAAAATTTCTCTCCTGTAGTCTCTTCAAAAAAAGGAATAATTTGATAACTTACAATTAATTGTTCTTTCCATTTCCACAGTTGTACTCAAATACTTGATTAATATTATTTGGAGGCAAAAAAATCATATTAACCAAAAACATCTAATGTACACTTTTTACGAGTATGCATAGCTGCTTTTTAAAAAATATATTTTTATTGATTTTAGAGAGAAATCTGAAACTAAATATCCTTAGTTTTAAGAGTAATAAGTATTTATTTACTAGATTATTTTCTCACTGACCACTTATAATTAACTATAGAAATTGGAAATTTATTATAGAAAGAAAATACACCTCATAAGATTCCAAAGCATCCCCCCAAATCAAATAGTTCAATTATGAAAAATAATATTTTTTAGTAACCAGAACTCAGACCGAAAACATTTTCAGCTTTCAAAGTCTTCACCTTGAACATAACAATTCTAATGAATGGTAGCTATCTTGCTTCCCACCTCTTGGTTAAATAGTGTCATCTTCCTGAAGATATATGCAGTGTTTCCTTCTTCCGAGTGGCAGGTGACTTGGTAGCATCCATAGGATGAACTTCCTGTGGGGTCTGGCCAATATTGGTGGCACTTCACCTAAAATCAATAGATTAAAAATATATTAAAAATTATAATATAACTTTCAAATTTACAGAAAAGTTACAAAATTTAATAAACTTTCATACATACTGTACTTAGTTCTGTCAATTATTAACATTTCTTTGTCGGTTTTTTTCTCTTTGTAATAATCTGTTTGGATATATTTTGAGACTGCAAATATCCTGTATACAATAAGCTTTTACTCAATGTTTTACCATGTGTGATGAATTCTTGCCTGAACCAACTATTACTATGAGAATGGCAAAATGCTGCACTAATTTTATTCTTTTTGGATTTAAGTTAACAATGAGAAAGAATCTTCAACTAAAATGCCAAGAGCAATCCATTTATTTTCACAATTAGAATTAAAAAACACACACTCAGCTTTATTGATATAAAATTCACCCATTTAAAGTACACAATCCAGCTTCCAGTCAAGAGGGCAGTATAGGTAAATGCTGTGCTCACTTCCTCCCATAACTACATCAAAATTACAACTAAACTACAAAACAACTTTCATTCAGAACTGCCTGAAGCCTAGCCGAACAAAAGTCAAATAACTAAGGATATACAGACATCATGTCTAGACTGGTAGGAGGGGCAGAGATGCAGAATGGGCTGGTACCACATCCACGTGTAACAATTAAAAATCAAGAGGGAGCCGAGACAGGTTTGGCTCAGTGGATAGAGCGTTGGCCTGCGGACTGAAGGGTCCTGGGTTTGATTCTGGTCAAGGGCATGTACTTTGTTTGCGGGCACATCCACAGTGGAGGAGGGGAGGGGTGCAAGAGGCAGCTGACAGATGATTCTCTCTCATCAATGTTTCTAATTATCTCTCTCCCTTCCTCTCTGTAAAAAACCAATAAAATATATTTAAAAAAAAAATCAAGAGGGATATTGGGGCTATGGAGGGACCGCCCTGAGGAGCAAGGGGTCTCATTACCACACCAAGCTCCTGACCATTGTTTCAGTACTGGAAGAGAAGTCCCCTTAACTTTTGCCTGTAAAAACCAGCGGGGATTGTGGTTGAGTAAGACAGAGAAAGGGGTCCTGGGTTCGATTAAATTGGTAAATTGGCCTTATATAATAGGTGTCTTCTCGGGCCCTATAACACAGATTTCCCGATCATCCAAGCTGCTCCAGGTACGCTCCCATGTGGGCTGAGTACACTCTCCTGTTGTAGTTGAACCTTGATTCCTCTCTTTTAAAAATTTAAGTTGACTTAGTAATTTTTTCTATCACCAGGCGTTCCTCTTAAAGGGCCCACACAGGGACTTACCTGGACTCACAGAAACTTGAAAGGCACCAGGGACACACAGGAAAGAACTGAGGGGTCCAGTGAAGGCTGGCAGGGCAGTTTTCTCCCAGGTAGAAGTGCTGGCAGAGACCCTCGTTTCTTTACTGAGCCTTCCCTCCATAGAGCCAGAAGGTGGTGCCATGTCTGAGTCTCCATCCATCTGGCTAACACTGTTGTGACTCTATGAGACCACCGCACCCAACTTGTGGGCCCACCCAATCTCTTTCCAGTGCCTTTTCCATATAAACAAATTTCCCCAAACCTCTCAAATAAGCAGCATCTGGCCTCAGTGTGCCCCTCTTGCTACGTGGCATTAGTCCTGGCACTAGAGGCAGCTTGCCTTGGTTAGCAGCTTGGCCTCTTTTGGGCACCTGTAAGCCCAAGAAAAGTAGTAAGCCACCTGCAAATCACTTTGTGCTCAGGTCTGGTGACCCTAGGCAGGGCATAGTCGGCACCAGGTGAATAGCTTCAGAAAACGTCAAAGCACCACCCACCCAACTACCTCCACAAGTAACACACTCAAGGTGTGGACCCAGCAGGCATCAGAGCCCTGCTGTAAAGTCCTGGTCTGTGGGGTCTGCCCCTGCACAGCTGATCCTGCAAGTTGGTCAGAGTGAGTCCTTGAAGCCAAGTGGTTTGGGCATAGATCCTCTGAGGTGCCAATAGCAATCAAGGTTCAACTACAACAGGAGGGTGTACTTAGCCCACATGGGAGCATACCCGGTCAGCTTGGATGACCGGGAAATCTGTGTTTTAGGGCCCGACAAGACACCTATTATATAAGGCCAATTTACCAACCCTGGGAGACATAACAGCCCTACTTATTACATAGAAAAAAAACATAGCCAAAATGAGGATACAAAGGAACATGTCCCAAATGAAAAACAGAATAAAACTCCAGAAAGAGAACTAAACAAAATGGAGACAATCTGTTGGAAGTAGAGTTCAAACACTGGCTATAAGGGGGCTTAATGAACTTAGTGAGGACTTCAACAAATAGATAGGAAATATAAAACAGAGATAAGAAAACCTCATAAAAATGGAGATAGAAAATAGAAAAAAGGACTAATCAGAAATGAATATAATAAATGAATTAAAGAATACATTACAGGGAGCTCTGGCAGGTAGCTCAATTGGTTGTCCTGATATGCCAAGGTTGATCCTGGTCATGGCACATACAAGAATCAACCAATGAATGTATAAATAAATGGAACAACAAATCAATGTTTCTTTTTCTCTTCCTCTCTCTAAAGTCAATCAATCAATAAAAATAAAAAGAATACATTACAGGGAACCAACAGGAGAGGACAGATAAAGCAGAGGATCAAATCAGTGATTATTAGGCAGATAAGGAAGAAAACACCCAATTAGAACATAAAGGGGGAAAAAACCCCCCAAAATGAGGACAGTATAAGAAGTCTCTGGGACAACTTCAAGCATACCAACATTGCTAAATTAGACCTGCTTTCTGATTTAAACTTTTACCAGGAGAAGAGAAACAGCAAGAACTTGAAACCTAATTTAAAAAAATAACAGAAAACTACCATAACCCAATGAAGGAAGCAGATGTACAAATCTGGGAAGCCCAGCCAGAGAGTTACATACAAGATGAACCCAAAGAGGCCCCCACCAAGAGACACCATTAAAATGCCAAAGGTTGCCCTGGCTGCTGTGGCTTGGTTGGTTGGAGTTAGTCCTATATACCAAGAGGTTGTGGTTTCAATCCCTGGTAGAGGTATGTGCGGGGAGGGGGGACGTGGAGGGAAGTGGAGGTAACGAATTGATGTTTCTTTCTCACATTGATGTTTCTTGCTCTCTCTCTCTCTCATCAATAACAACAATAATAAAAAAGCTGAAGGTTGAAGACAAAGAGAGATTCTTAAAAGCAGCATGAGTAATTAGTTATTTACAAGGGGGTTCCCATAAGACTGTCAGTTGATTTCTTTGGGGGAATGGGTAAAATAAGTGAAGGGATTAAGAAGTACAAATTGATAGTTACAGAATAGTCATAGGAATGTAAAGTAGAGCATAAGAATATAGTCAATAGTACTATAATAACTATGTATGGTGTCAGACGGGTAATAGAATTATTTGGTTGATCACTTCGTAAGTTAAATAAAATGTCTAATCACTGGTTTGTACACCTGCATCTAATATAATATTGTACACCAACTGTAATTGAAAATTTTTTTTAAAGTACACAATTCAATTGTTTTTAATATATTCATAGAGCTGTGCAACCATCATCACAATCACTTCATCACTTCCAAAAGAGACCCCATACCCATTAGTAACCACTGTGCATTCATTCTTCTACCCCACTTCTCTTACCCAACTCCAGACTTAGACAAGCACTAATCTACTTTCTGTCCTCTATGGATGTAAAGGTAAAAAAACAAAAAAAAGACTAAATCAATGTGAACATTTTGACTATAAGTATATGCAATGTAATTTGAATAAGGTCCAAGCAATGTGTAAGATTCAAGTATGACTTACTCTGCCACGTTCAACTTGTGTGGTCAACATTACAACCATGGAGGAGCCTTGTTCCCAAGTCATCTGCCAAAAATCTGTACAAGTGTGTGGTAATGGCCCTTGACAAGCAATGTACTGATTTATAATGCTAGAAGAAGGAATTTCCATCTTAAAAGAAAAAGATACAAAAATAAAATCTTTTATATTAACACTTTTTACTATTATCAAGCATATGAAAATCATCCACAAAATAACTGAATGCAACTAATCTCAATAAACTGCAAAGTCAGTATAACAAATTGTAAAATAAATTTTTTTTTTTTTAAATCTTCACCTGAGGACATGTTTAGAGAGAGGAAGAAAGAGAGGGAAGGAGAAGGGGGGGGAGGGGGCCCTCAGGTAGAGAAGGGGGGGGGAGGGAGGGAGGGAGGGAGGGAGGGAGGGAGGGAGGGAGGGAGGGAGAGAGAGAGAGAGAGAGAGAGAGAGAGAGAGAGAGAAATATCAATTGGTTGTCTTGCGTGCCCTAACTGAAGATGGAACCCAGAACCTGGGTATATGCCTTGACTAGGAATTGAGTGCACAGTATGATACTCAACCAATTGAGTCACTCCAGCTAGGAAACACAACAAATCTTTATCAACACTTTATTTTACATGTAGAAGAAATTTCTTGGTAATAGCCAATCCTATCTAATAAAAGAGTAATATGCAAATTGAACATACCTTTGCTACACACACAAGCCATGCCCACCAGCCAATCAGGAGCAAATATGCAAATAAACCCAACTATGATGGCTGCGGCCACAGAAAGCAGGAGGGAGGCTTGAGTTTCCCTGGCAATGGAGGAAGCCAAGCTTTCCGCCTTCCCTTGCTGTCCTAGACCTCACTCAAGGCTACAAAGTTTCAATTACAGAAGGTAAATAAATTCCAACAGAAATGGCGCAAGCCACAGAGGTAGAAGAGAAGGAGACTAGGGTTGCCCCCTGCAATGGAGGAAGTCAAGCTTTTCACACATCCTGGCCAGCTCAGGCCTTCACTTAAGGCTACAAAGTTTTAATTATTGAAGATCATAAATCCCAAACAGAAATGGCTGCCGCCACAGAGTAAGCAGGAGGCTTAGCTCCACTCCAGGCTACAAAATTTCAATTGTAGAAGATAAAATAAACCCCAGATACTAGGGCCTCCACTTGTGTTGCCAGGAGTCATGGGAAACCTGCAAACCACCACAGGCCCCTCGCCCAGGCCACCCTACTCCCCAAGGGAATCCCTACCTTGATCCGGGACACCCTTCAGGGCAAACCAGCAAGCCCCCACCCATGCACCAGGCCTCTATCCTATCTAATAAAAGAGTAATATGCAGATTGACCATCACTCCAACACACAAGTTGACTGCCCCCAGGTGGTCAAAGATCCTGCCCCTATTTGGACACAAGATGGCCACCACAAGATAGCCAGCATGGGAGGGCAATTGGGAGGATCAGGCCTGCAAGGGAAGGCAGTTGGGGGTGATCAAGCCTTCAGGAGAGGGAAGATAGGGTGACTAAACTGACAGAGGAGGGAAGTTAGGGGCAAACAGGCTGACAGGGGAGCAGTTAGGCATCAATCAGGCTGGCAGGGGAGTGGTTAGGGGGTGATCGGTTGGCAGGCAGAAGTGGTTAGGGGCAATCAGGAAGGCAGGAAGGCGAGCAGTTGGGAGCCAGCAGTCCCAGTGGGATCGAGCCTAAATGGGCAGTTGGACATATCTTGAGAGGTAACAGATTGGAGAGGGGTCACAGACTGGAGAGGGTGCAGGCTGGGCTGAGGGACACCCTCAACTCCGTGCATGAATTTTGTGCACTGGGCCTCTAATATGTGTGTGTGTGTGTGTGTGTGTGTGTGTGTGTGTGTGTGTGTGTGTGGTGTGTGTGTATATGTGTATGTGTGTGTGGAATATATAAATTCCAATTAGTAGAAATAGAAATCCAAGTATTTTTTAAAGCTGTTATGGTTTTAAGAGAAGTTTTACAGAGAACTCAGTTTCAGAGGCAGAGACTTGGTCTCTAAATACTTTCTGGTAAAATTTGTGAGGAGAAAAAATTCTGCCACTTTAGTTTACATCCTACCTAATAATAGAGTAATATGCAAATTAACCATCATTCTGCTACACCCACCAGCCACGCCCCACCAGCCAATCAGAGTGAGCATGCAAATTAACCGAGATACATACTAAAATAGTTAATCCTCACTATTCACAGATTCTGTATTTTGCCTACTTGCAAAAATTTATTTGTAATCCCAAAGTGCTTGCAGTGCTTTCATGGTCATTTATAGACATGTCTAAAGAGGTAAAAAATCTGAGCCACCCAAAGCGAACATTTCCAGCTAATATTGAGTAAGATGTTGCTGTACTTCCTTCTTGCTTCTACTCTCATACTTAAACAACTGCCCTTTTTGCAGTCTATTTAATGCCACATTTTAAAATTTCTGTGCTTGTTGTTAGCAATTTCACTGTTTAAAACAGTCCCCAAGTGCTGAAGTGCTGTCCACTGTTGTAAGTGTAAAGAGGCCATGAAATGCCTTATGGAGAAAATACACATTAAATAAGCTTCCTTCAGACATGAGTTATAGCTCTGTTGGGTGTGAATTCAATGTTAATTAGTCAACAATGTCTATTAAATAAGGTATCTTTAAATTGAAGCAAGGTTATGTATTGATCAACTGACAAAAATGTTGTAAATAGAAGCTCATGGGACCCTAACCCATGTATTTTTCCTTTGCAGCAAGGAATCAGTATTTGCTAATTCAAGGTTAATAAAGACTTTATAGACTATCACAAATAATACGAATTGATTATATTTACAAAAAATGATATATTTGATTTAAATAAATCTAGGGGGGTAGTGTTTAGATGAAACAAGATTGGCCATCATATATAATAAAAGGCTAATATGCAAACCAACCAAACTGTGGAACGACCACTCACTATGATGCACACTGACCACGGGGGCCAGATGCTCAATGCAGGAGCTTCCCCGTGGTGGTCAGTGTTCCCACAGGGGGAGTGCTCCTCAGCCAGAAGCCGGCTCACGGCTGGAGAGTGCAGTGGCGGTGACAGGAGCCTCTCCTGCCTCCGCAGCAATTCTAATGATGTCTGACTTATGGCTTAGGCTTGCTCCCTGGGCCTAAGCTGGCAGTCAACATCCCCTGAGGGCTCCTGGACTGCAAGAGGGTGCAGGCTGGGCTGAAAGACCCCTGCCCCCGAGTGCATGAATTTTGTGTTTGTTGATATTTATCGAAGGTGGGTAACAGGTTATGGTTGGGGGGGGCTCTTCATACTGTTCAACTTTTGAATAGATTTTAAAATGCCATAAATTATTTTTAAATAAAGTCACTGGCAGAGCATTCCCTATAAACCATCTTTGCATATCCTTCATTGTTTTCATTACATTGTATTTATTTTTCTTATTGACTTATAGAGCTCTTTACAAATATTGATGAAATAAGCAGTTTATACTACTTAAAAAATTCAGTTTGTCATTTGATTTTAGTACTTTTCAAAGCAACCCCCAAATTAAAATTTATACATTGTCCAACTCAACAATCTTTTTTTTTTTTTTTTTTTAATAGCTTAGACATGTACCTAAGCTTAAAAAAATCTCCTTTCTCAGATTTTAAACAATTCTCATATATTCCTCCAAGTATTTTCTTGTCCGTTTCATACATTTATATTTTCATACATCTAAAATGTATGCTGGCCTCAAGAGTGTGTAGTGTTTATAGATCAATTATATGATGTGTAGATTTGTTCCAAAACACTGTGGATGTGTGGGGCATGGTGGGAGGATAAGTGAAACAAAGTTGGCCATTAGTTGGTAACTGTCAAAAGCTGAGTCATGTGTTTAAATTCGTTCAGTTAACTTTTTCTCTATTTTGTATGTTTAAAATTTTCTATAATCCAAAGTAAAAATAGTAATCCTGTTTTTACTCCATAGAAGTAGGAGGAGACCTCTTTATCATGGTATATTCCAGACACCTAATTCATTTACTAGATCATCAGTTTTACTTTAAATTATTTAAAAGGCTATCTCTACCATAAACAAATTTCTAGTTTTATTTCAGCCTATTTCTAGACTAGATTATTCCATTCCACTGTTATATGTATATATTACTGCTAGAGACCCTGTGCACAAAATTCGTGCACAGGGTGTGTGTCCCTCAACCAAGCCTGCACCCTCTCCAATCTGGGACATCCCTATCACAATACAGGACTGCTAGCTCCCAACTGCTCGTCTGCCTGCCTTCCTGATTGCCCCTAACCAATTCTGCCTGCCAGCCTGATCACACCCTAACCACTCCCCTGCCAGCCTGATTGATGCCTAATTGCTCCCCTGCCAGCCTGTTTGCCCCTAACTGCCCTCCCCTGCAGGCCTGGTCATCCCTAACTATCCTTCCATGCAGGCCTGGTCCCTCCTAAAAATCCTCCCCTGCTGGCCTGATTGCCCACAACTGCCTTCCCTTGCGGACCTTGTCCCTACCAACTGCAATTCCCTGCTGGCCATCTTGTATCCACATGGGGGCAGCTATCTTTGATCACATGGGGGCAGCCATCTTGTGTGTTGGAGTGATGGTCAATTTGCATATTACTCTTTTATTAGATAGGATAAAGGCCTGGTGCACAGATAGGGTCCAGCTAGTTTGCTCTGAAAGGTATCCCGGATCAGGGTGGGAGTTCCCTTGGGGTGTGGGGCAGACTGGGTGAGGGGCCTGTGGTTGTTTGCAGGCTGGCCTTTCCCCCTGGCAACCCAAGCGGAGACCCTGGTATCTAGGATTTATTTATCTTCTGTGATTGAAATTTTTTAGACTTGAGTGAAGCCAAACCTCCTGCTTGCTTCCCGGCTACAGCCATTTTTGTTGGGATTTATTTATCTTCTATAATTGTAGCCTTGAGCGGAGATCAGGGCTGCAGAAAGCTTGGCTTCCTCCATCACCAGGGAAACCTAAGCCTTCTGCTCACTCCATGGCTGCAGCCATCTTGGTTAAGTTAATTTGCATACCCACTCCTGATTGGCTGGTGGGCGTGGCTTGTGGTTATAGCAGAAGTATGGTCAATTTGCAAATTACTCTTTTATTAGATAGGATGTCAGTATCAAACTTTTTTTAACATTACTTTTATAATATTTTTCAATATCTGAAAGTTTTAATATTCTCTCAAGGTAAGGCTTTTAACAAAATGGAATAAATCTGTTTATAGTGGCCCTTCTTATACAAATGAAATAATAAAAATAAACTTACATTTATATAATTTGCATTGATATAGTCTTCATTACCCTTTAAAATGACCCGTGTAGCATCATCTGAAAAAATTTCAAAAAAAGATTTCAGTAAAGTTATGTTAAAAAGATTAAAGCCTAACATGCAGAAATCATAGATACTTACAAGGCGAAATATCTCTGTATCTATTTTTGGAAATATTCTGAGGTAATTTGGCACAAGACATTGTCATTCCAGGTTTTTTTCGATATAGTTGCTAAAACAAAACAAAACAAAATAAAACAAAACAAAAAGGTACGAGTTCAGCAGGCCAACAAAAGTTTCATTTTGTTTTTCTGACTTGTTCCTATGCTATACAACAGGGTTTTTGTTTTTTTTTCTTAGAATACCTCATCTGTACAATGATGTACCTTAAGCTGATAGGATATTAAACTAGATTTGCAAAGCTAAATTCTGCACCAATTCTGATATGAATATACCATATTTTAGAGAATGGCAAAATAAATGAAAACAATTTTTCTTACTGCAAAAAGTACCAGACATTTTGAAACAGAAAATCTGCAGAAAACATTTAGCTTTTATATACTGTGTAGATATTTAAAGTATATGAATCCAGGACTTAAAAAAGCTAGCAAAACTGACAGTTTTTTTTTTTTTTTTTTTAGTCACAAATGTTTTAGTCATTTATCTGTAACATATCCTTCAGAGCAACAAATACTAATAATGGCTAATTATACTGCTAAAATTTAAAAGTTAAATATTACAAGGTACAAGTTATTTTCCTTTAACTCAGGATTTTTAAGTCTGTAATTGCCTACCTTCATCTGCCAACTTTCACAAAAACAGTTATTTAATTACAGATTAAGCATCAGCCTGCGGACTAAAGGGTCCCAGTTTGAGTCCGGTCAAGAGCACATGTCCAGGTTGTGGGCTCCATCCCCAATAGGGGAAGTTCAGGAGGCAACCAATCAATGATTCTCTCTCATCATTGATGTTTCTATCTCTCTTTCCCTCTCCCTTCCTCTCGGAAATCAATAAATAAGAAAAAAAGAAAGAAATCATACAATATTGCCCTGGCTGGTATATCTTAGTTGGTTGGGTGTAGTCCTATACATTGAAAGGTGGCTGGTTCAATTCCCTGTCAGGGCACATGCTCAGGTTGCAGGCTTGAACCATCAGGGATGGATATTTCTCTTGCCTCTTCCCAATTCTCTCTCTGAAAATCGAAATTAAAAAAATATTTAAAAAAGAAAGAAAGAAAGAAAAAACCATACATTATTACTTACATCAAATTGTGTCAGGACTGTTCCGGTGATAAGCCCCTCAGCTAGCTGGATCATTGACTCCCGCAGGGAACGGTCATCCTGATGGGCGCCATCTAGTGGGGCCTTCTCAGGAATGTACTGGAAGTCTGGCTCAGTTTCTAGCTTTTCTTCCACTACATCGTAGACAGCTAAGTCCAAAAAAATAAAATAAAAATTTTAATAAAGACGCATGAAAAACTTAATGAGTTGAGAAACGAATTTACCAGATTTATTCTTTATGTGTCAAGAAAAATAATTTACTCATAATTCATCAGATCTGTGTCTGATGTCAAGGTGTAGGGCCAAACAGTGACTGTGGAGATGAAGAAATTTGCTGCACCTTTGAGGAAAAGAATGGTTCTTGGCTATAATTGCTGAAAATCTCCATAATTTGAAGAGACATTAAGAAAAAAAGGAGCTGCCAAGAAGCAGCTTTGAAAAGACTTGCCCTAACTTGTGAGACCTAAGGCAAGAGTACAAATAGAAGCCTATATGTCTAGTTAGGAACAGTTATAAACAAAACACGTTTTATCCTCTCCTTGAAATATTTACAAAACAACCAGGGAGTCTGGATTTCAAATGAGAACCTAGGCCAGAATTCATGGCCATGGAGTTTGAGGAGAGACAGACCCTAGACCCTGGCCTATAGTCCACCTCTTTCTTTTCTTGCCCTCAGATACAGTAACACTAGAGGCCCAGTGCACGAAACCTGTGCACGGGAGGGGTATGTGTGTGTCCCTTAGCCCCGGCTGCACTCTCTCCAATCTGGGACAACCTTGAGGGATGTCCAACTGCCTGTTTAGGTCCAATCCTGGTGGGATCTGGCCTAAACGGGCAGTTGGACATCCCTCTCACAATCCAGGACTGCTGGCTCCCAACCACTTGCCTGCCTGCCTGATTGATTGCTCTTGCATGCCTGCCTGATTGCCCCCTAATCACTCCCCTGCCAGCCTGATCGATGCCTATCTGTCCCCTAACTGCCCTCCTCTGCAGGCATGGTTACCTCTAACTGCCCTCCCCTGCCAGCCTGGTTGCTCCCAACTGCCCTCCCCTGAAAACCTGCCCGCTCCCCCAAAATGTCCTCCCTTGCTGGTCTAGTTGCCCCTAACTGCCCTACCAGGCCTGCAAACTGTCCTCTTATGTAGACCTGGTCCCCCCAACTGCCCTCTCTACTGGTCTAGTTGCCCACAACTGCCTTCCCCTGCAGGCCTGGTCCCCCCACAACTGCCCTCCTCTGCTGGCCTGGTCACCCCTAACTGCCCTCCTCTGCTGGTCTGATCATCCACAACTGCCCTCCTCTGCTGGCCTGGTCACCCCTAACTGCCCTCCCCTGCTGGTCTGATCATCCACAACTGCCCTCCTCTGCTGGCCTGGTCACCCCTAACTGCCCTCCCCTGCTGGTCTGATCATCCACAACTGCCCTCCTCTGCTGGCCTGGTCACCCCTAACTGCCTTCCCCTGCTGGTCTGATCATCCACAACTGCCCTCCCTTACAGACCATCTTGTGCCAGCCATCTTGAGTTCACATGGGGGCAACCATCTTTGACCACATGGGGGCGGCTATTGTGTGTTGGAGTGATGGTCAATTTGCATATTACGCTTTTGTTAGATAGGATGGGAGAATATGAACATCCCAATCCATATGTACGCTTGTTCATATATCTCTGCAAATTGCTGCATCTTAGCCATGCCTCTGGGGCTACATACATCATGTGGGCACCTTGAGAGAATGGATTTGGGGAAAACAGGCACACAGACTCAGAGCTATTTGGATAGAGAATTGAAAGTTGAAAATAGTGGGGAAGTCACAAGTGATGGCCTGGCAAGTCCTCTTGCTCTTATAAAATCCTGATCCCGTGATGGTGGTGGTGGTGGGAGGCAAGGTTGAAGGAGAGACAGAAAACAGCCCTCTAAAGAATGGAGTCAAGCTAGGGGTCCCTTATATCCTTGACCAAGAGTTTTGATTCCTGCTCAATATGTAAGTATATTTGGGAAGAATAAATTTTGGAAATGAAGAACAAAAAAACAAAAAGGTGTGAATGCATATTGTCTAAGAAGAAATAAGATCTAAAGAGAAAAAATTTTTTCTGATATTTTTGGAAAACATAATTTTAAATTTTGATTATGCAATAAGTCTTCACTTAACATTGTTGATAGGTTCCTGGAAACTGTAATTTTAACAAAATGACTTAAAACAAAATCAGTTTTATCATATGTTAATTGACAAAAATAAGACTTAAGTTCTTATAGCATATTTCTGGTCACAAAACATTACCAAACTTCTAAATAAAGATCCAATTAGCTCTGGCTGGTTTTGCTCATTGGTTAGAGCATCAGCCATGGTCAGGGACATGTACCTTGGTTGCAGCTTGATCCCTGGTCCCTGTTGGGGCAGTGCAGGATGCAACCAGTCAATGTGTCTCCCTCATATTGATGTTTCTCTCTCTGTCTCTCCCCTTTCCTTCCACTCTCTCTGGAAAAAAAAAAAAATCAATGGGAAAACTCCTCAAGTGAGGATTAACAACAACAATAAAAAGTTCCAAACCACTCTAATATTACATATTGAAATAAATGTGATATTACATATTGAAATAAATGTGAGCTATTCACAAATTTAATAAAAATTAATAAAAACAGGTAAAATAATTACTTTCCAAGGTGCTTATTCCAGTTCAGAATTGCAGGTGACTAGAACCTCACCTTGCAGCTCATGGCACCTAGACAGGATGCCCTTCTATCACAGAGCCACTCACACACACATTCATACTTGCTCAGACAAGGACAAGGTAGAAACATCAATTCACCTCATGTGCATATCTTTGGGATGTGAGAGGAACCCAAGTCAACAGAGAAAACCCAGGCAGACATGGAAAGAATGTATAAACTTCACACAGTGATCTGGCCAGGAATCTTTTTCTCTCTCTCATCAATGTTATATCAGAATGTTAAATAAAACGTTTCTCGATGACCTGCTGTTTGTTATTTTAAGTAAAAAAGGACAAGGTAGACCCTGAAAGTGAATACGGGTCCTGCCCATATTTTGACAATCCTATACCCATATAATAAGGAGGTAATATGCAAACTGACCATCACTCCAACACACAAGATGGCCACCTCCATGTGGACACAAGATGGCCACTATAAGATGGCCAGCAGGGGAGGATAATTAGGCTAGCAGAGGAGGGCAGTTAGTGGTGACCAGGCCTGCAAGGGAGGACAGTTAGGGGTGAATGGGCCGGCAGAAGAAGGTAGTTTGGGGGGACTAGGCCTGAAGGGGAGTACAGTTGTGGGGGAGGGGGAGAGACCAGGCCTGCAGGGGAGGGCAGTTGGGGGTAATTGGGCCAGCAGGGGAGCAGATAGGCATCGATCAGGCTGGCAGGGGAGTGGTTAGGGGGTGATCAGGCTGGCAGGCAGAAGCAGTTATAGGCAATCAGACAGGCGAGTGGTTGGGAGCCAGCTGTCCTGGATTGTGAGAGGGATCCCATATTGGAGGGTACAGGCTGGGTGAGAGCACGTGCACTGGACTTCTAGTAAAATAATAAGAGAAAGACCTTTATTAAGACCTAGGTGGATTCTTCTCCTAATTTAAAGCATAAATGAGATGATTTGAACTGCAAAAAACTAAGACTTTTCTATTATATGGATCTGTACTCGTCATAAATTTGTGAGCAGAACTGAATGTCTAGGTGTTAAAATGTCCTCAACTATAAAATGGGGATGGTAGGTATGTCTCTGGATAGCTGTAAAGATTAAATAAGAATATACAAGAGTCTAGATGCAAGGAAAACATTTTAACATCTGTTATCAAGAGAAAACATCTTTAACATTTGGTATCAAGAAAAAACAACACTAAACAGAGAGGATATTATCTTAATTTAAAATTTAAGTTGCTTACTTGACAGAAAGTTCCTAATAATGAATCACCTAAATATCAAATCTAAATGAATGAGTTCCTTAAAAGTTAAAATAGAATGTTGTGTTGGAATCCTGCGAATTTTCCTAGAATGCAAATTCCAGATAATGAAAGCAGAAAAACACCAAGTAGAAAAGATGAAATGAAAATGCTTATTTGTACCCAATAGGCAAAATGAGTTTTGTATTTTTTTCTTGTAATTTTTATAGAGTTCGGTGTAGTGTGGGAATAGATAGAGTCCCAATTACATTTTACTTGAATATATGCCATCCTACCTAATAAAAGAGAAACATGCAAATTGATTGCACCTTCGCTATGCCCACCAGCCAATCAGGGTGAGTATGCAAAATAACCCAATCAAGATGGCAATTAATTTGCATATCCAGGCCAGAGTGAAGACTGAAGACAGTGAAGACTGAAGATGCCAAGCACTGCTTAAGGGAGCGAGCAAGCCAGGCGGTAGAGAAGGAAGGGAAGCAGGCAGGGTGAGAAGATGGGAGGAAAGCAGGTGGGGCAGCAACTGCAGCAGAAAGTCCTATTGTAGGAATTTTCCTGCAATGGGCCACTAGTAGGTATATAGCATTAACCAATAAGTACTCTTATTGCTAAAACTATGATTAATAGTAAACCGTTCAGAACAAAAGCAGAAGAGTATGTCTAATGCTGGGATACAGGCATATACAAAATTTTTCCAGAGGAAATTGATACAGTGTGGAGGGAACTTGAAACAATGCCATATGAACACTCACTGAAGGATCTGGGATTACTGAACTGGAGGAAAGGGGGAGGGTTTCTGGTAAAATCAGCTATTGTCAATAAAACGGAAGGAATAGGGATTAAATTTATTCTGGATAACAGGACTGAAGAAAGTTTGATTTTAGTTCAAATTAATAGTTCAAGCTGTCCAAAGGGGGATGAACTGCTTCATGAGCTACTGAGTGCTCCGTACCGGCAGGACATTCTTGAGATCACTACTGAGGAACTTAAGCAGTCAGTAAAGGAGCCAGAGCTTACAGCATGAGGGCTTCTCCAAGCCTGGGACTCTGACTCTGAATTAATACGTTCGCTGTCCAGAGCAGGAGATGACATGATTAGGCTACAGGCATTCTCTATTGAAAACATATGACAGGATTTAAAAAAAAATGATTTAACTGCAGCTTGTTACAGAGTTTCCTAAAAGTGGAACAGAGTTCAAAATTTACTAATTAATTCAAATATTATTTATTGATTATCTATTACTATTACTAGAGCAAGCAGGGGAAAGAGGCCATTTTAGCTATGGTAGTCGGGAGAGAAGGACTTTCTGAGAATGACATGTGACTTAAAACCTGAAGGGAGTGAGAGAATAAGTCATACAAAATCAGAAAAATCATACAAAATGTAGGCGGAAGGAATAGCAAGAAAGCCAGCATAGGACAGAGTGAACAAGGCTGAGTGGTAGGCAAGGAGGACAAGAACTTACGTTTTACTCCAAGTGTGAATGGAAGCCACTATACTTTGAGCAGGAAACTGACATGCAAGACAGATTTAGGTTTAAAAGCCTATTCTGGCTGCTATTCCAGTAAGAAACACTAATAATTATGAAAAATATCCAGTGCTATGTAGACTACTTACCATTAGGCCGGACTAGAAGTACGAGTTCCCCAGAATGCCTCTCACAGCTAGCTTTAATAAACAGGACAACCTGGTCGTGGGTATGTTCTGCAATGTCCCGACCATTGATCAGTACAACTTGGTCCCCTTCATTCAATCGAGGGACACAGAGGTCAGCCTGCAACATAATGCAAATAAGGTTTCAGATCTGTACATGGCTTTCTAAAAGTAGAGCACAGAAATTTATTTTTATAGATTCTAAAGTAGAATTAAAGCTACATATAGAAAAACGTCTATCCATTCATCTACTCAAAAATGAAACAGAAATCTAGTTTTCCCATGAAGATACTCTACTTCTTTCTTTTTTCATTCAACAACTTTTCCCCTTATTACATGCATAGCCATAGAGAAAGACCAGTTATTTGGAGATGCCTAGACATTGTCAGGCCTCACTTTGCACTACCCAGATATGTACAAATTTCAGTTCCCACTGTGAAGGTATTAATTATGAATAATTACATAAAATACAATCTTTGCTGTTAGATTGTAGCCCAAAACTCTCTACATAAATAATAGACACATCATGACCAATACCCAAACACATCATTTCCTTTAATGTCTGCTGGTGATTTGTCGCTGGGCACCTGTTACTCAGTTCCTGCAGACAGCAAAGCATATACTAGTATTTGTGCTGCCTTAACTCCCAACAATAAAACCACATAAAAATGGGTAAGAAACAGCTGATGGTGAAAATATACACTGCTACTGTTTAAGACAGTGGACCTTTTGGACCTCACCACCAACCTTTTGGACCTCATGGACCACCAGTGGCCTGTGGACTACCGGTTGGCGACCGCTGGTTTAAGAGACTCTAAGTATACAGAGAAGGGGATTTAATGAAGGGGAACTTATCAACATTAATGATGAAAGTGGGTATAATAAAAAAAGGAGTAAGTTTTTCTTGAGGACATGATGCTGGCATAAAACTTCTCATTAAAGGAAATCTTGGAGATATTTTACAACATTAAAAATGCAGAGGACTGCCTGGCTGGTGTGGCTCAGTAGTTGAGTGCTAACCTAGGAACCAAAAGGTTAAAGTTCAATTTCAGGCCAGGGTACATGCTCAGGCTGTGTGCTGGATCCCTAGTGGGGGGCGTGAGGAGGCAGCCAATCAATGATATTCTCTCAACATGTTTCTATCTCTCTCTTCCTCTCTTTCTCATTTCTTCTCTGAAATCAATAAAAGTTTACTTATATAAAAAAATGCAGAGGACCAAAAATTGAAAGTAAATTCAAACTTAAAAAGGATTATGACAATTTGCTAAGTCAAGAAAGAATGCTCACTCTGTATTTTAATCTATATGACGAGAAGGGCACAAGCCTATTCAAACCACTTGTGATAAGTTTTCATTAAGAAATTAAATACTTAAGTTCTCAATGCTTCTAATGTTTAGAATGACAGGGCAGTCAATCAGTAGTTTTACTTTTTTTTTTTTTAAAGCACTGATTTCATAGATTTTATTTATTTATCCTCGTCTAAGGATATGTACTGATTTTAGAAAGGAGGAAGGAAATGGGAGAGAGAAAAAGAGACACAGAGAGACATCAATTAGCTGCCTCCCATTCGTTCCTCAACTGGGACTGAACCAGCAACCTAGGTATGTGTCCTGATGGAAATTAAACCTGTAATCTTTTGGTATACAAGATGATGCCCCAATCATCTGAGCCATCCGGCCAGGGCTAGTTTTACTATTTCTCATTTCTCCATCATTTATAAGGGAAAGTAAGAGACATTTTAATGAAAAATTTAAAGGTCTTAGAAACAACCATAACTTCCCCCATTAATTATCAATGTCACTTTACATAGTTTCAGCTTGAATGGTCATTTTTATGGTCCTGTACTACTGTACAAAGTGATGACAGAATGTATTTTATTGAGAAAAATAAATGAGTAATTCAAATAAAAGAGATAAACAGAAATATGGACAGCACATTCCAGGGACAGCAATAAGAAGGCATAGGAATAAAGAATGAAGGACAATAGGTCAGATACAGAAGTAAATGATGGGGTTGGACCTCACACAAAAAAAGAAACTTCCTGTTGCAAAAGCTTGAAGACTTGAAAACATGACTATTCAAATTCACTATAAACACAAAGTCAATAAAATCCAACATGATAGATCATATCCTCTACTGCTTATAAAATGTGTGCTCTGAGACATGCAAAACTCTGAAAATGGAGCAGATAAGCTGCTCTGATTATAATAACAAAGAGCTGTGAAGATAAAAATGATATAAGTATACAAATGTTAAAACCTGGAGAACTCAAATTTAAGGTTATGACCATTCTCTCTAGTTGCTTTTTTCTCTCCTTCTTGTAGTGAAGCAGATGATAGTCATATACACCTTCTGTGTATTAGTAGTGTGATACCTTTATGTATCAATTTGGTCCAAGTTTTTGTAAATGTCTTCAAGGTACCCAAAGAGTGGTGAACTGGAAGATATTAATGGTACTGGGAGAAAAGGGTTATAGTGAAAAAAGTTATACTCTCACCTTACTTTGTGAACAGTATAGTTAATGAAAAGAGGAGGTAGTTTATGTGCTAAGGAGAAGATAGTTATTAATCTCTAACTGTACCTTCATATAGCCACTGATATTCCAAAGGATTGAGACTAAAAGGGCAATCTTAACCAAAATGCTATATCTAAGAGGCAGATTTTTTTTTTTACTCACTATCATTGAAGAGAAAGAACTCTCTCATGCATAATCTGCTTTTGTCAGTTATGTTTATAATTTTTTATTGCATTTCATTCTAATCTGGAAAGTCTAGATGAATTGTATATTAAAATAAATTTTTGTTGCAGAATAGCTATTGGCTCAAAGATGATCACATTGGAACAAAAATTTGACTTTAATTGGGAATTATTTTATCCATTTCAGAAGGATTACAATTAAAAAACCATGAAAATATTTAAAACTCTTTCCCCCCCAATCACTTAAAATGAGGTTTCCAATGGGAAGATTGTGATGGTCTCCAAATTAGTAAAATAATATAAAAATGATAAATTTCTATTGTTTTAATTTGTCCTAAATTCAGTTAATATATATGAAACACAGTTCTATGTGGCAAAAAATAAAATCTTACCAATAATCCGTATAGCCTAAAAAAAAACTCGGTCACAGAATTCTGTTTGGAAGTGAACCTGTTTATAGAATGTTCCTTGAACATCCTTGACTTAATTAATAACTATCCACATTCACTGCTCAGAAAAATCAATTATTTCTTTTGTGTTATTCACTGATCATTACAACTGGCATAATAAAAAAGGTGTATTGCAATTTCTAATTATAAAAGCAATCCATGCTCACTGTCATGATCTATTAAAAAAGGAATATAGGGGAAAGTGATTAATACCAGTAATTCTACTACTTGGATGAAATATTGTTAAGCTTTAAAGCATGTATCCAGACTTTTTAATACACATAATTCACATTTTAAAAAACTGGATCAAACATAAACGTAGAATTGTAATACTAATTTTTTGTAATATCTTCGTATGAACATATATGCATACTAGTATAGAGCTACATCATCCTTTTAAATAGTTACATAGCAACACAATGTATTTCACCAGCTCTAATGATGTGTATTTTATTTGCCCCTGATTTTTGACTGTTATAAACAATACTACAGTGAATATCCTTGTATATCGTTTGTTCCCTAGCACAACTGTTTCATTAGAGGCCACTCACTGTCAGGTCAAAAGATATATATTTAAGTTGCAATTAAAATTTTTGTTTTTAGCAAAGTTACACATTACATAGTTTAAAAAGTTGACTAGAGCTGAAAGATTAAGAAACCATTTCTCGTGTTCTTCCCTCCCATTCCCCCCTCTCTAGAGTCACTTTTTTTCAACATCTTACCTACAACTTTTGTGTTTATCTCAGTAACTCCACATATCTCCCTCATTTTGTTTTTCTTTAGTTTTCTATGTTAGACATTATCTATCTTACTACTTGATCAGAATTTAGCAGCCTCTTTTCATCAGCAGTCTGAAACATATATAGTTATCATTAAATAAATAATTTTGGACTATTTTCCCATCTTTGTCCCTATCCTTCATATGCATAGCCGATTCAAGAGTAATTTTGTACACTGTATCCCTGTCCTCTCCCCTCTGACCTCAAGATTGGTTTAAAAGAGGGCATCTGACTCAAAATTGGATCTGATTGGTTTATTTCCCAGGAGCCAGTAATTTGTATAGGCTTAATCATTTTGGGTTGCTGAGCTGGTAATATGTAAATATGGAAGTTACTAGTAGTCATATCCTACCATGTGGACTGAGGACAAAATAGCAGTAGCTATACAATTTTAATTTAGCAGAGATTTAGGAGTCATAATTATCACCTGAAGGCAGAGTATGTCTGGTGGTGGTGATATTACAGGACTTGACCTGAAATTGTCACTAAATACACTATTTGTATTCAGACTAATATATTTGAAGTGGCTTGAGAGATGTCACAGATTCAGTGTACAAACTGGTTTGAACAGAAATATGGGATATTCACACAAGAAATATAGATAAAAAGTAGAGTGACGGATGAGTTTTTTCTGGAGGTATGACTGTGTTCCTGTGCTTGGTTTTATGAGACACTTATGAGCTCTATAGTAATTTTTTTTGTTCTTGATGAAGCAATAAAAACAACTTAATCCAAATCCTTGAATATGCTCCTTTTAATATATGACAAAATAAAAACTGCACATAAACTACTTTTGCACCAAACTGAAGTATGATAGAGTCTAAGGAGAAGCTGTAGTTATGTTGGCAGGGATATTCTATAAGTAAATGCCCTATTATTTGCAACCAACAAAGTCCTTCAAAATCAAAACCAAATATTATGATATCCTTAATTAATCCTGACTACGATCTTCAAACTAACTTTGAGGTATCAATAGCTGCAAAGAAAGCACCAAAAAAGGCATAACCGACCTCTTTCTCTCAAGCTACTGATTTATATACCTTTCTTAGGGGCAGGGAGATAGTTAAACGATAAAGGGTGCTGACTGAAAAATCCCTGAAGACCATAAAGTAGGCAATAACATAAATGTAAATTTGAAAGCCATTATTTGCTGCATGGAAGAGCAATAAAGATAATACAGCCATATTAACTAAGAGCTGTCCTTATGATGAGCATGAAGTTCATGAATGCTGAGCTAAATAATGGGAACAGGGGAAGTCATCATAATGGGTTCCTAAAATATTTTCTCTCTTTTTGTTTAGAATGTTCATAATAAAAAGTTTAAAAATTGTTCTTATAAGAAAAAAAAATCGCTAGTACTATTTATATTTAAACTAAGTTTTTTTTTTTAAAACATAAGGCAAATAGCATATAAGTAAACAATACTAAATGAAAAAACAAGCAAAAAAAACCACGAATAAAAAATATAACTCCTGTCTACATTAAAAAAAATACATATTTTTATTGATTTCAGAAAGGAAGGGAAAAGAAAAGATATAGAAACATCAATGATATGAGAGAATCATTGATCGCTGTCTCCTGCACGCCCCCCACTGGGGATCAAGCCTGCAACCCAAGCATATGTCTGACTAGGTATCAAACTGTGACCTCTTGGTTTATATGTAGACACTCAACCTCTGAGCCGCACGGGCTGGCTCCTATCTACATTTTGCTGTTTAAGGAGTTATTCTGATAGGATCTATTTACACTTTAGAAGCATTGAAAGTCATACACCAGCTTCTTTGTAAAACAAGGATTTTAAAAATTCTTATAAACAGGGCATAAATAAAAACAAACTTAACAGCAATTTAAGATATCCAACCAACAACAGTAGATACTTGACAAATTAAAAGAATGATTATTTCCTTTTTAACTAATTAAATTAAGTACATATTCTTGAAAACAAGATTTACTTGGGAGATTTAGATAACTCACAGGTGTTCCTGGTGCTACTCGGGACACGATCACAGGCATCTTCTGATCATATCCTCCCTTAAAACAGAGCAAATCAAATATTAGCAAAATAAAAACATCTTAATTTAAAAACTGAGTACAATATAAATTTTAGATTACCTTTACATTGAAACCAAATCTTCCATTTTCATCAGGTTTCATTCTGATTAGAACCAGATTATCATGTGGAATACCACCATTAGGCTAAAAAGATAAATATAAATAAGTTGTAATTTTCTTCACTTATAATCTATCCATTACATACACATGGAGTATGCTTTTTTTGTATGTTGACATTATCTATAGTACATAAAGAATCAAAATTAAAATTAAAATGTTAATTTAGAAATTTACATTTTGAATAACAGGACTTAGGAAATGGCGTGATAGCCCAAATAGATCTATTTTCTCATGTATAAGTGCCAAGAGAGACAGGAGCTTTATCAATTATTATTTTTAAATTAGTTCTTAGAGAGAGAGGAAGGGGGAGAAAGAGAAAAACATTAATCTGTTTTACCACTTATTTATGTATTTATTGGTTCATTTTGTATGTGTCCTGACTGGGGATTGAACCTGCAACCCTGGTGTATCAGGACGATACTTTAACCCACTCAGCTACCTGGCCAGGGCTTATCAATTAATTTTAAGAATCGCAATATCTCTATAACCTGGCTTAAAGCTTTACATGCAGCAAGTGCTCACAGTGTTACATGAATTCATGTTACTCCCTCTACTTTTAAAAAGTAGCCTTACTGAGATATAATTCACCAATCAATGTGTGTAATTCAATAATTGTTATTGTAGTCACAGAATTGTACAAACATCACTACAATTTAATTTTAGAACATTTTCATCACCTCCAAAAGAAATCCTGTATTCATTAGCAGTCATTTTCCAACCCCTCATCCCATTCCCTAAGTCCTATTCAACTACAAATCTATAATATTTTCTGTCTCTATAGATATGATTATTCTAGACATTTCACTTATATAAAATTATATAATACTAGAAGCCCCGTGCACGAAATTTGTGCACAAGTGGGGGTGGGTGGTGTGGGGAGGGATGTGTGTCTCTCAGCTAAGCCTTCATCCTCTCTAATTTGGAACATCTCTCTCACAATCCAGGACTGCTAGCTCCCAACTGCTCATTTGTCTGCCTGCCTGATTGCTCCTAACTGCTTCTGCCTGCCAGCTTGATCACCCTTAACCACTCCCCTGCCAGCCTGATTGATGCCTAACTGCTCCCCTGTTGGCCTGATTGCCCCTAACTACCCTCCCCTGCCGGCCTGGTCACCCCTAACTGTCCTCCCCTGCAGGCCTGGTCGCCCCCAACTGCCTTCCCCTGCTGGCCTGGTCATCACTAACTGTCCTCCCTTGCCAGCCTGGTTGCCCCTAACTACCATCCCCTGCAGGCCTGGTCGCCCCCAATTGCCCTCCTCTGCCAGCCTAGTCACTCCTAACTGCCCTCCTCTGCAGGCCTGACTGTCCCCAACTGCTCTCCCTTGCAGGCCTGGTCCCTCCCAATTGCTCTCCCTTGCTGGCCATCTTTGACCACATGGGGGTGGCCATCTTGCGTGTTGGATATTACCTCTTTATTATATATATAGGATATGGTTGGTTGTTATTGGCTTCTTTTACTTACCATGTTTTATACCTGTTCTTTGAGGGTAAATATCTGGCTAATTCGTACTTATTCCTTCAAGACACAGTTCAGAGATGATCACTTCTGGGAAGTCTTTCCTTAACCCCATAGCTGCATTAGTTATTTTTATATACTTGTAAATTCTCTATAACCACTTCTAACTATAGAACTTATATTGCTTTCAAATTGTCTTCCTATTTGCTTGCTCTAGATCCCATCCTCTCTTCCATACTCAACAATATTGCTATGGCAATTCTCTACCCTCCTGCCTTATCCGTTTCCTTCATCCTCTGGGAAATACTCTTATTTCTCCCATTAAAACAACAACTCCTCTTCTCCGACTCCACTTCCCCATCTAGCTACTGCCTTTACTTTCCTTCCTCTTACTGCTAAACTTTTGTTTTGTTGTTGTTGATTACCTCTCACCCTTCCATCCTCCCCTACCTTCCCTCTGGGATTCCGCACTCTGTTCTAGGCTTCCATGTCTCTGGGTCCATTCCGTTCATCAGTTTGTTACTTAGATTCCACGTATGAGTGTGATCATGTGATACTTTCTCTAAATTTCTTTAAAGAGTGTTTTCATCTGCTGTCCTTTTCACTCCATCCTAGAGTTGGGTTTTCATCCCTAGAATTTCGCCAAAACTGTTCCAATTACGGTCACCAGAGGTTTTCACATTGTTCCAGTGTTCAATTCTCAGCCCTCATCTTACTTGACTTACTGTAGTATTTGACAAAGTTGATTATTATCTCTGTGACTTTCTTCTCATCAGTTGACTCCATTTCTATTTGTGTCTCCTCAGTGTCAGATGCTATAATATTTTATTTTATTTTTTAAATCTCCCTCCTGTTTATAATTTAGAGGGCCAAAGCTCAATTTCTAGAATCTCTTATTTAGAAATCTATGCACAACACACCTCCTTGGTGATTTCTTCCTACCTCATGGTTTAACATATTGTCTATATACCATCAGTTTTCAATGTTACAACTCCAGCTTGAACCTCTCCCTTCAACTTCAGAATCCCATCTCCAAATGGATTTCTAATAGACATCTCAAATTTAGCATGTCCAAAATTGAGCTCCTGATATTCCACCCATACCTACTCTACCTGTAGTCTTTAGATCTTAGTAAATGGAAACTTCACCTTTCTAGTTGTTCAGAGCAAAAACCTTGCTTCTATCCTTGATCTCTCTCTAGTACATCAATCTAACCCATCAGCATATTATGTTAGTTTTACTCTATAAATATATCCAGAATACAGTCATGTCTTACTCCTTGTATGGCTACCATCCTGGTCCAAATCACCATTGCTTGCTTGAAATACTTCAATATATTATAGTAAACTATCTCTACTACCCAGCTCTCAGGCTATTTTTAATAGAACAGCTAGAATGAAACTGTTAAAACTTGTCACATTATGCTACTTCTCTCTTCAGATCTGTATGTGCATTTGCTTCCTACCTCACTCAGGGTTTAAAACAAAGTCTTTATTTTATAAGACAAGGCATTCAGGATCTGACCCAGTTCTGGACCCATCGCCTCCTTATTTGCTAATTTTGCACTAGCCACATTGACTTCCTTGATGCTCCTTGATTGTATCAGTCATACCCCTGCCTTTGTACCTACCATTCCCTCAGCTTATCTACATGGCTTATTACTAAGTTCATTCCTGGCTATATTATCTAAAATTCTTGAAATTTCCTAGGCCTTCTGGCTTTATGTTTCTCCCTAGCATTTACAATATCTAATATGCTATATACTTAAATTATGTGCCTTGTTTACTATTTGTCTTGCCTTTATCCCCAGAATGTAAGTTCTTGAAGGCAAGGTGTTTTTTTGTTTTTCCATAAAACCCTCAAAGCCCACAACAATGCATAGCATACAGCAGATACTCAATAAAGACATGAATAAAAAATCAAACTACACCATAGGTTATTTAACAGCAGGGGCCATGTCTTACTTGTCTCTGTATTCCTACTACCTACCAAAGTACCTTAGCACACAGAACGATCTCAACAACTATGAACCAATGAATGAATGATACAAAAGAATCACCACAGAGGTAACACTACAGTTGCCATGATGGGTAAGGATTCTTCTCTCTTTTTGATGTGTCTTTGGTGGTGGAACAACAATAAGTGTGGGAGAACAGAGTGAGTGCCTCTTGCCTTTCAACTTGACATAACATGGGAGGGCTATAGGTGGAAAAATGTGAGGGCCATGTGTGCAATGGCTACCAGAAATTTCTGGCAGTGCCAAACTTGCTGTGGACCCTCTTTTCTCTGCATCTTTATTTCCTGATGTACCTATTAAGTTTCCTAAAATATACCCATATTTTGTCTGTCCTTACCCTTCTTCATGAACACTATGTATCCTTAAAATTTATTGATAATCTCACTTTTGGTTTATTTACATCTATCTAAAAAAGCAATAAAAATTCATAAATCAGGGGATTTTAACAATTTACCATTTGTTGTGTTAAAAGCATGTTCTATAAGGCAAAAGTACCAACATAATTCATAAATATAGTCAAAAGGTTGATGAAAATGATAGTCTATGCACTTAGTGAATTATAATCAAGTTAATGGTATTTAATGGACTATTAGCATTGGTTCTAGAAATGTGTTTTACAATACTAAAATCAACATGTATTTATTAAGAATTAACATTCAGAGCAATGAGCATTTATATAAATGATGATGAAAGGAAATTCCAGTTAGGTTATATCATGTCATAATTTATGAGAAAACATATGATCTTATATAATAAAGAATATGCAAATTGACCCTCACTAGATAGCTGCCTATGATCAGGCCGGCAGGGGGGTTAGTGAGGGACGACCAAAGGACTGAACAGCAGGCTGCATGGGGAGACTAGGCTGGTGGGGGGGGAGGAAGAAGAGGGGAGAGGCAGTAAGGGGCAACCAGGGAGGCTAGGTAAGCAATTAGGAGCCAGTGGCCCAGGATTGTGAGAGGGATGTCCAAATGCCAGTTTAGGGGATTGGGCCTAAACTGGCAGTTGGACATCCCCTGAGGGGTCCCGGAATTGAGAGGGTGCAGGCTGGGCTGAGGGGACCTCTCCTTCCTCCATGCACAAATTTTGTGTACTGGGCCTCTAATGAAAAGAGTAATTGCTACAAAACATACCACTATACAAAAATAACTTCATTTATGATTTAAAAATTTCAAAGAAATTTGAGATTTGAAACTACTTACAGTAGATTTTTCAGGAGAAGATGGAACATCAAATGCCTCGTTAATATGGTTTTCCAGATCTTGTTCAGAATGTGAATAATAAATTTGGTTCCAGCTGTTTTTCTTAGATTGTTTGGGTGGTAAAGCTGGAGGCTGCCCATCCCCGGGGGTCTCTTGTGATCTAGATAGGGAAAAGGAACAAGTATTTTGGAAGTTGCCTCACATACTTGTTATTTTAAAAAGCTAGAGTCAAGCAACTCAGATATTTACAATGTCTAGTAAGAGACAAACTTTAAATACCATATTGATTTGCAAATGCCATTGTTTAATGAAATATTTTTACATTTGAAGTTTAAATAGCACATACAATTTTCTACTTTATCAAATCTGTAAACAATACTACATATAAAAAAATCTATGTCAAGGGTATCTGTGTGAAGATATTTATAGTAATCTATTATAACAGGGTACATACCTTTCCAAAAACGGTTTTTAAAAGTTTTCAGTGCAGTCATACAAATAGCCAGGAAACAAGGCAGGCAAAGAGAAATCAGAACTGAGAGTTGAGCCATTCTACAGGTAAAACAACTGGTAGTCTATAGAAGTTAAGTGGCCCAATTTATTTAGAAATAAAACATGATTAATGAAAGTAATGAACTCAATGCTGCAGTAAGGATTAGAATCTGATTAAAAATGCTGAGAACACCAAAAAGACAAAAGTTATATACTCTAACAAGGTATAAGACCTTGTTAGAGTATATAACTTAAGGGGGAAGATGTGAAAATCTAATTAACATTAGAGAACATAAGCCACAGTCTGTAACAGAGGGTATTGGTTAAAAAAAAAAAAAACGCAAAAAAAAAAAAAAAAAAAAACCAAAAAGAAAACTAGGTATAATAGGGGAAGTTTCAAGGTAAAAATTGTACTTTTGAGAACAGAGACTAGACTGACAGTTACTAGAGGTGAGAGGGGCTAGGGTACTGGGTGAAAAAGGTGAAAGGAATAAAAAGTAAAAATTGGTAGTTGCAAAATAATCAAAGTACAGCATAGGGAATATAGTCAATAATCCTATGTAATAAAGAGTTATATGCAAATTGACCATCACTCACGGCCACCTCCATGTGGTCAAAGATAGCCACCCCCATGTAGACACAAGAAGGCTGCCACAAGATGGTCAGGAGGGGAAGACAGTTGTGTGTGATCAGGCCAGCAAGGGAGGGCAGTTGGGGGCAGCCAGGCCTGCAGGGCAGGGCAATTAGGGGCAACTGGGTTGGCAGAGGGCAGCTGGGGCAAACAGGCCTGCAGGGGAAGACAGTTAGGGGGGACATAGGCCTGCAGGAGAGAGCAGGTGGGAGGGACAAGGCCTGCAGGGGAGGGCACTTGGGGGCAGCCAGGCCTGCAGGGGAGGGCAGTTGGGGGTGACTGCGCTGGCAGAGGAGGATAGTTGGGGGCAACCAGGCCTGCAGGGGAGAACAGTTGGGGGAGAGGAGCCAGGCCTACAGGGGAAGGCAGTTGGGCAACCAGAGCAGCAGGGTAGGGCAGTTAAGAGTGACCAGGCCAGAAGGGGAGGGCAGTTGGGGGGACCAGGTCTGCAGGGGAGGGTAGCTGGAGTGACCAGGTCTGCAAGGGCGGGCAATTGGGAGGGACCAGGCCTATAGGGGAAGACAGTTATTGGCGACCAGGCCGGCCAGGGAACAGTTTGGCATCGATCAGGTTAGGGGGATGATCAGGCTAGCAGGCAGAAGTGGTAAGGGGCAATCAGGCAGGCATGCAAGTGGTTGGGAGCCAGCAGTCCTGGATTGTGAGAGGGATGTTCCAGATAGGAGAGGGTGCGGGCTAGACTGAGGGACACACACACCCCTTCCTCCCTGAGCACAAATTTCATGCACAAGGTCTCTAATATTGTAATAACCATATATTGTGCCAGGTGGGTACTGAAAATATTGGGGGAAACATTTTGCAAAATACACTGAGTGGCCAGATTATTATGATCTCTGAACATGATATAATAAAAGGCTAATATACTAATTGTCCCCTTGACCAGGAGTTCGACCAGCAGGCAGGCTGGCCAACTGCCCATGTCCACCCCCCTGGTCAGACTGGCCAGACCCCACCCATTGATGAATTCATGCACCGGGCCTCTAATATGCATGTGCGCGCGCACACCCACACACCCACACACCCACACATACACACACTGAGTGGCCATATTATTATGCATTCAGAGATCATGGCCACTCAGTGTATATGATCTGTCTAACTACAATGCTGCATAACTGAAACTAACTCAAATAATATTGATGTTAACTGTAATTGAGATAAAAAATAATAAAAGTTCAAGCACAGCATGTTAACATTACTTGTGAATTTCTCACAAAGACCAAAAGGGGGAGCCAGTGGTTCAACTTGTATGCTAGAAGGCATGCATCCAGGAAGCTGAGGAGTTGAGGAGCAAAGGCAAGGGAAAAATGGTCCTTGATAAGAGCATTGACCATCTTTGGGCTTATATTTATCTCTGAGATGGCAGGAGGTCCTTGGGGGGAAATAAAAGAATTACTGTCCATTGCTTAAGGACAGATAAGAAGTTAATAGCCGCTGTGATACTCAGGTACATAGTTTACTCAGTTTCTGTTTATTTTTATTGATTAACAACATAGGCCTAAGATACAAGTTATAAGGCATTGAGGAAGTATTCAATTATATTGCTGTTCAAAAATCATTCTCCACCCTTCCCATTTGACATTAAGCTTGGCTGTATGACTTGCTCTGGCCATAATAATGAATAAAGCTCCTTTTCAAAAGCTTCTCCTTTCAATTGCCTCTAAGATTCAATACAATCTAATGCTGTGGGTCAAAAAAAATGTTCCCACAGATTAGAATACGGACATGGATGCTGTGCTACAAGGGATTAAGAAAGATGAAGATGGACATCCCTTGCAGAGCCTCACAGATGTGACATTTCTAAAAAGAAGTTGATTAAAAGCCTCCAAGTCTTTACAAAAACCTGAAGTCTCTGAATTCTATATATTTCGATCGATAGGTCTCATTCCTTACTTAGGCAAGGTGAAGAGAAACTTTTCCTAATTTTGTATTCAGCTGTCATACTCAGGAAGCATTTAGCTTCAAACTAAAAATCTATAGGGAATGCCGAAATTGGTTTAGCTCAGAGGATAGAGCGTCGATCTGAGGACCGAAGGGTCCCAGGTTCGATTCCGGTCAAGGGCAGGTACATTGGTTGCAGGCACATCTCATCGATGTTTCTAGCTCTTTATCCCTCTCCCTTCCTCTCTGTAAAAAATCAATAAAATATTTTTTAAAAAATCTATAGGGAAGAGTGTAAGAGCTGAGATCAGATAGGAAAGAAGTTAGAGTGACTTTCTTTATTCTTGGTCACTAATAGGCTACATATAGTGCCAAAATATAGTACAGGGACAAACTGATGCCCAATCTGTACTGTAACAGCTCAGTGAACCAAACCTGATGGGTCTGGGCATAACAATGGTGATGCTCAGTTACAAAAGAGGGACAGCAATGACATTACAGAACATTTTGCTAACACCATTGAATCTGCATTTTTTTTAATATATATTTTATTGATTTTGTACAGAGAGGTAGAGAGATAGAGAGTTAGAACCATCGATTAGAGAGAGTCATCGATCAGTTGCCTCTTGCACCCCCCCCACTGGGGATATGCCCACAACCAAGGCACATGCCCTTGACCAGAATCGAACCCGGGACCCTTCAGTCCCCAAGCCGACGCTCTATCCATTGAGCCAAACCGGTTTCGGCTGAATCTGCATTTTTGAGGTAAGATAAGGCATATATGGTAAAAAGGCTTGAGAAGTGATTTTTATTATGTACTTCTGAATAGAAATCACTGTCCTAGGATAGTGGTTGCAAATTTGGAGATTGTGAAACTATTTTGGCCAACACACATTTGGCCCATCAATTGTTTTTATAAAATGTGAGTTAATTGACATTAAAAATTACATGGCAAATATGGATTTCCAGAAGGAAAAGTTTGGAAGTTCTGGAAAGAATGGACCTAAATTGTAAGTTGTCAACCACTGGACAAAGCCAAGGGGTAGCTGCTGCCTTTCAATGGGTCATGGGTATTTAAGTTCACATAAATCCCATCCTGTGTTACTTGTCAGACTCCAGTGGGTATTTGAGTCTAACTCTCCTTTAAACATTCCTAGCTACAGGAAGACACCAATAGGAAGAGAACACAAGCACACAGGTTCAGGTTGGCATTTAAGCCAAATCTAAAGAAAAGGTGAAGAGAATGGAATATAGACAGAGGATCAGCCAAGATGTAACAAAGGAAAGAATATAATTTTGGGTTCCAGATCATGGGCTATCTACCTTCCTTTATGGTTTTGTATAACTTTCTTGTTAAAATAAGTTCTCAGAGGGTAGACAGGTTCTCGACATGCATGGTTGCTATTAGGGCTTAGGATGCTTGGGGAAGCTTCCACAACTATGTGCTCCCCCAGTAACCCCTTGTTATCCACAGGGGATTGGTTCTAGGACCCTTGAGGATACCAAAATCCATAGATGTTCAATCCCTTATATAAAACTAGAGGTCCGGTGCATGAAATTTGTGCATGAGGGATAGGGGAAATGGGAGGGTGAGGAGGGTTCCCTCAGCCCAGCCTGCACCCTCTCACAATCCATGACAACCCTCTTGCAATCCGGGACCGCTGGCTGCTAACTGCTCACCTGCCTGCCTGCCCAATTGCCCCTAACCACTCTGCCTGCCTGCCTCATCACCCCTAACCACTCACCTGCCTGCCTGCTTGATCACCTCTAACTGATTACCCTGCCTGCCTGATCTCCCCTAATTATCTCTGCCTGCCTGCCTGATCACCCCTAACCACTCACCTGTCTGCCCAATCTCCCCTAACTACTCGCCTGCCCAATCACTCCTAACCTCTTGCCTACTTGCCCCTAACCGCCTCTGCCTCAGCCCCTGTGGCTTCATTAGAATGTCATTTAGCTGTCTACTTTAATTAGCATATTATGCTTTTATTATTATAGATGGTCTAAGGGCAATGTATACAGCCAGCCCTTCACAACTGCAGACTTTCCACTGTGGACAGAAAATACTGTTTCAGTATGGGTCTTACAGATTTAGTGACATTTTCCTAGAGTACCTATAATAACTGCTTTGCTGATCACTCTATCTACCCTTCCATCTTTTCTTTAATCCTGATTACATTCACTATATCTTATACCTCTTTCTCAACAATCAATGAATCTTCTTACCTATCTATGTATCTTATAAAGTATTTTACTTTTATCTTAATTCTCACACTGTATTTTTACTTACATATGAACTGCATTATATAAACCAATAAATCTAGATGTTGCATTTTAATGAGGGGAAAACATTTTGTACATTAAATTGATGGCAATCAATTAATACTGACTTAAGAAGTTGAATGTGTGTATCAGTATAGAATATAAAACAAGAATGAATTTTAAACATAATGTGTACATTATTTTCACATTATTATTTTCAGTGGGACAGTCATCTTACTTAGTTCCACTCTGCTACTTTATGTTTCCAAACTGTCTAGTCATCTCATGGGTCCCTTTCTGAAAAATATTTTTAAAAACTCTATCTTTCACTACCTTACTGACTTCCACAGTACTATAGTATCTGCAGAAATATTTAAGGGTATGTACTAAAATTTCAAGAACATACTGAATCAATGAAATAATGGAGATTTCTTTTTGGTGAAGGGAGCACCAAGAACTCTCAGAGACAAGCACATTTACAAATATATAAAATTTTAAAACATTGCAAAAATAAAAACTTGTATCAAATACCCTAATTTCCAAGAATATTTAAAGTGAAACAATTTCAGGTATTATTTATAAGAAGGAAAGTGAACAGGAAAAGGTCTTACGATGATGATTCCAGAATGATGCTGTTAGCTTGTGTTGAAGATGGAGATCTGTGATTTCCAAATACTTCGCTTGGGGAAATGTGAACCACATGGTCTACCAAATGACCAACTGAAGATGGTCGTAACCGGGGTCCCTCTTGTGTGAATGCAGAATTTCGACTATATAAAGAGGAAGAAAATTGAGTAAAATGTGCTTTAATTCAATTTTAAAAATGTTATTTATATGATTCCTTCAAAAAGTGGGTGTGTACTTTTAAGACTAACCACATCAACTACTCAAAGTCTCTGACAAAAACAGTGTGACATAAACAGAAAGAACACAGAATAAGAAATCAAAATCTGAGCTACAGACAATCATCTACCACAAGGATTTTATCTATTTATTCATCTATTATCTCTACCAACCTCAATGTTTCTAGGTTTTAGTTACTACAACTTGGTGACTTAATGAGCACTCATAAAATAAAGAGAGAGAATGAACGATTTAGAAATATCTTCTTGTCTGAATTATTTTTTCATTGTATATTGCATTGTGCGCTAATCACCCACAGTCTAATCATAGTCTTCCATCACCATATACTTAGATCCCTTTTCCCTTTACTACATTCTCCCCTTCCCTCTGGTAACCATCATACTGTTGTTTGTGTCAATGCCTTTCAGTTTTATATTCCACATCTGAATGAAATCATATGGGTCTTAGCTTTCTCTGATTGACTGATTTCACTTAGCATATTCTTTTTGAATTCTTATGTTTTTATTTATGGGACTTGATTTACTTCCTATGATTAAATACTGAATTACATATTTCTATCCTCATACATGACATATTCACATGAATTACTGTCACTATTATTAACTATGCTAGCTAACATTTGAGTACTTATTGCATGCATTTTGTGCTAGGCATTATTCTAAGCATTTTACATACATCACCATTTAACTTTCATAACAATACTATAAGACTATTATTGTAAATATAATTTTATAGATAAAGGAAATGGGACAAAGAGATTAATTTATTTGCTCAAAATAACCCCTATACTGTACTGTCTCTTTAAAATTTAGAAAAAAGCCAATCTTTTCAGATCATCCTAAAATTGTTTCATTAATTAGAGCTACTGCCAATTAATTCAATCATCTAGTTTAAATTTCTTGTTCCTGGTCACAAATGGATAAATGGTTGGATAGAAAAGGGCCCAGAAAAAGAAATTTCTGGATATTCTTCTAACAAGTTAATTAGCCTTTGAATACAAACAATCTCTTTTAAAGAAAGATGATTTAGCAACCTGTAATAAGCAAGACAGAAACTTTTTAGTCTATTTTTTCTAGGAAAGAAAGATATCTAGGAATTAAATATCATTCTGTGAACCCCAACTTTTGATGTATACTTTACTGGCAATATGGTAGAAGTGTATTCCTTGGTTCACAAACATCTATCAGTGACACAACTTTAATGTAGTGTACACCTATCGGACATTAATGTGTATGAGATACTTCTTCAAATATTGTATTTTATACCAAAATTAAAATATTTTGTATATCAACCTATGGGTTAACAAGGTCTGTCAATGTACTGACACACATCCATTTATTAATATCTTAATTACATACACATATTATAACACATCTGTTAGCATTATAAAATGAAGATAACGTCATGTTATTATTACTATCTACACCAAAATACGCAGCATTTGTGAGAAATCCTAGAGTATAACTAATAAACCGAAAGTGCTGAATAACACAGCTTCTTAGCATAGCTATGGCCATGTTTGCAGGAACTGATGTTGGAAATCCTTCTTTCTAGACCATAGAAAATGGCAGAGCAGTGGCTGGGGTAGGAGCTTAAGTAAGAGAATCATCGTCCCTTAGAATTTTCAGACAACGTATGCTCCTTCAGAAATTCTAATGGAGATCCACATGGAAAAGGATGATGTCAACAACAACCATATTCTCATATTTTAAGTCTAGTAGCAGATTTTGATTTATTGGTTAGGGACCCTTACTTTAAAAGTTGACTGGGTAAGGAAGTGAGCATTTTTGCTGAAGGCTCTACTACCTCATCTGATGGGAGGCTATTATTTCATGCCACTTACACAATAAGCTAGAGGCTCAGAGAAATGCTAAGAGGAAATAATGATCTGCAGTAACAAAAGTCATATCTAACCAAAATTTAAATAAGAAGTGTTTACATATTTTGATCTTCAAGTAATGGACATATACAGTTAATAATTTAGAAATGAGAAAAATGAACACCTGATTTGAGTCTGCACTTACTGATTAGGCGTCCCAGGCGGAGTTCGTGATGGAAGGCTTTGTGTTTCCAACCTGTCATCAGATACTGAATTTCTGCTTACTACTTCCCAATCCATTAATTTTCGTGCCAAGGGTTTACTTGGAGATCTGCCAAAATAATTTAATATGTAAAATTTTTAATTTTATGCACCAAACCATAAACCAAAACTCAGAATTTGTATTAACATATATTCTAGTTGAGTAAATATAGTTTACTTTCAAGAAATTACTGTTGTTAGAGGCTATTTATCAAATACTTTCCTAAGAAAGTAAATCTTCTTTATATTAAGGAAGAAAAAATAAGCCAGAAAAAGTAGGAGAGAGAATAGGGAAAAGGAGAAAAAGAAAAGAAACAAGATTAAAAAGAAGAAAAGGAAAAAGCAAGGGAAGAGATGGCTATCAAAAGTTTTCTCAAATATTATAAAAATTGTAGAATCTCTGAAACCTTTGAATGTATTAAATAATTCCTGACATATTATCTCCTGAATGTCCTTAAATTCAAACCCTGATACTCTGCCTCAGGGAGGACAAGGCAAAAATGATAGTTATATATATTACATTTTATTTGTATTTTTTTCCTTCTAATATGTAGTAGGCCAGTGGATAGTTTTCTTTCTTTTTAAATTATAAAGGCAGGGTTTATTAAAACACATTATTTATTTATTTATGTCCTTATTAACTTATAAATTATTTACTGTTGAAAGCATTATATATGTCTCCTTCCCCTGCTCACTGAACTCTCCCCACCAGGCTAGAAGGTTAATTATTCTGTCTCATGGTGGGAAATAAAAGAAAATGTTTTGTTACCTACTTATATATTTCAGCTATCATCTTTTCAGAAAAGATATCGATCTTTGCAAAGATTAAACACCGTCAGAATTTTATGTAAGTTAAAGTCTTTTTTATATGCAAATTCAAATAGTGGCCAAAATTCATGGAGAATATATGACATCTATTTAAATTTTAGTTTTTTTGAGATGCAGAGCTAATATGGAGGTTAATATTATGAATTAAACTACTTGTATAAAAACACATAATAGCCGAAACCGGTTTGGCTCAATGGATAGAGCGTCGGCTTGGGGACTGAAAGGTCCCGGGTTCGATTCCGGTCAAGGGCATGTATCTTGGTTGCGGGCATATCCCCAGTAGGGGGTGTGCAGGAGGCAGCTGATCGATGACTCTCTCTCATCGATGTTTCTAACTCTCTATCTCTCCCTTACTCTCTGTACAAAATCAATAAAGTATATTTAAAAAAAAAAAAAAAAAAAAAAAAAAAAAAAAAAACACATAATAAATAATCTTATGAACTGATAGTTTCATATTTGAGTAAGAAAGTCACTGGGGGAAAAAAAAAAAAGAAATTTATTGAAGAGAAACAATAGACTAAAAACCATGTAACAATAACCAAGAGGTACTCAATAAGATTTATGTACAAACCAGGAAGCGTATTAGAACTTATATTTACTTTTTTTAGTATTCTAATCTCTTCTCTATTTGCTTATCTTCTACAGTATTTTACTAGTCTTATTTTTTTAAAGTTACTATATTATTTGTCTTGTATTTTATTTCTACTTATTTTAAATCCCAGAAAATATTGGGTTGGCATTCTTATATATATATTTACATATTTCTCCCATTTAATTAGTCTTTATTTCCATGTTTCTCTCTTGAATTATTTTCTTTTGTACAAAATATTTTCTTCTACAAAACAAACAAAAAAAGCAAAAACAAAACAACAAAACACCACAACACACAACAACAACAAAAAACCATGATGGGTGGGGACCCTAAATCCTAATTTTGACCTTACAACTAATATCTACGTTATCAGTACAATGTATAATCTTACGGTCCTTTACTATCTCCTGAATTTTAAAATATACGAGTATCTAAGTTTTCTGTGCAATGTTTTAGTCTACTAACGCACGAGGAACTTAAATTACTTATGAATCCAAACCACACAAATGTATCATTTCATGTATTTATAGCTAAAGCCTTTTTAGTTTGGCCTAATGACATCTCCTTAATATAAGAACATTTAACATTTGCTAGGAGATGTAAATGTTATCAATTAAAAAAAAAAGGATGTTGATTCAGATTTCATTTTTTCATAAGTAAATTTGAAGTTTTTAAAGCATGAACTTTAGCATTTATGGCTCTCTTATAAATGCTAATTCTTAATGTCAAACTATTCTTTCTCATATATTAAACTACTAAATGTAAGCTGTAAGAAAATTTACTAACGATAGCTAGGAGATCAACTACTTTCATTTTCTAAGAGAGGAAAAAAAGTCATTTGAAAATGGAAAAAATCCAGTTATACTCACCTAGTATAAAGCGTCAGAACACTTGACTGTTGTTAATAAACTAAACATGGTTGTAAATGCTTTGCATTTAAAGCTAAATTTCAGATATTTTATTTTATTAACAGTTTTAACCTCAGAGACCCACCCACTCAGACTTGCTGTCTATGTTTCCTGTTGAGTGTGGAAATTTCAGAGAAAAAAATACCACACTTCATCAGTGTGTTTGCAATGTGGTAAATTCATATTCTGACCATGGCACCTCAATTTTCTGTTGCATGAGAACATGCTTTTGTTTTCTTCTTAGATATTATATGACAATTAAAAAAGTATAAAAGCAATTCAAAGAGTTGATATATAAGTAAAACACAGTTCACTTATTGCTGAAGAAAAACCAACCTTACATGAAAAGTCTAAGGAGAAATCTGTTCTATTTACACTGCCAACTCTAAAATTCTCTAATATTTTAAGAGAATGAGTGAATTTAATAATTACTAAAACCATTTGAATATTTTGGCACATGTGCATCAGGTCACCACAACAAGTTTCTGTTATATTATAAAAACCACCCCAGAATAGCTTAATCTTTCACTATTAACACCTTCAAAGAGGATTCATATAATTCTGACATGACAAGAGAAATAGGATGGCTATTTGGGATTTATGGTATTAGAATGGTAGCTTTACTATTTAGTGAATGATATAGATCTGTCTTATAAAATCACCTATTAAACAATTTCACATTTTAATAATGCATATACAAAATGAAGAACTAAGACTCAGGTGTAACTGCATATTTCTAGAAATCTGATATAATCAAAATATTAAAACATTAACACTTAAAAGAAAGTTATTTTCATGTGATATTAACATTAATATATCAATACAGCTATGACTTGGTACTCATATTAGAACATCACACTATAGTAGAACTAGTTATGAAATCGTGTTCAACATTTTTATAAATATCAAGTGAATAAAGTTTAAGTTTCTTGTTAGAAAAATAATGTTAGTTTTTGTCATGATGCAGTTTTAACAGAAAAGAATCAGAAAAATATTTACTTTTATTTTACCAAGTTTGAAAGGAGTGTTACAAAAAGTTAAGAGCTAGAAGAAATACATTTTTCATTAAAACAACAAAATTGATAGGATGTGAACTCTTTCTCCAGAGCAATTTCAAGGAAAACAATTTGAAATTAACATTTTACTGTGCAGGTCCTTAGTAATGTCTATCTGGAAACAAGGTATCCAGGACTGTAAAAGGGAGGATTCTGAATAATTTCAGTAGTTACGTCCACTAAGGTAGGCATCTCTGTGTTCTCATGGTCTTTTTTCTCCTTTCCAAAATGACCAAACTACTAATATAACACCAATATTTAGTAGTATATTTAATAGAGAAACAATATTTTCCTCACAAATCTAAAAATAAGAAATAATAAATCAACTTCTACATTTTTTTGAACAAATGCTGAATTACACCATTCAAAGTGAAGAGTCCACTTGTCACAGCAAAATGGTATAGCTTTAACTAGCTAAATCCTTCCTATTTCAAGGCATTTTCATTGATGGCATTCCTGTGGAGTAGATTATTCACAGACCAACCAGGATAGGATGAGGGTAAGCCAGGAAGGAACTTATACTATTATTTTTAATTAATTAATTAATTAATTAATTAATTAATTTAAAGCATTTGGCTCACTGAAGACTCAGTGAGGATTTCTTTTTTTTTTTTTCTTTTTAAAAAAATATATTTTATTGATTTTTTTACAGAGAGGAAGGGAGAGAGATACAGAACTAGAAACATCGATGAGAGAGAAACATCGACCAGCTGCCTCCTGCACACCCTCTACCGGGGATGTGCCCACAACCAATGTACATGACCTTGACTGGAATCGAATCCGGGACCTTTCAGTCCGCAGATCAATGCTCTACTGTTTAGCCAAACCGGTTTTGGCTTAAATTTATTTTTATAAGCATTCAGGGCATAGTATTGGCAAAACCTCAGATAGCCTTAGTAATGACTTGGGACTCTGAGGCATGGAAGATCCAGGGTAAGGGGAAGAATCCTGAAGTTACATCTACAGTTTAGGATAAAAGGATTTAAATATTTAACAATTTACTGGCATTATAAATGACTATAGATTTTTCAACATTAAAAAATTACCCAAGGATTAAAAATGGCAACAGAATAAATGGATGCTACATGGACATGCTCCTAGGAACAAACTGGGATTACAACTAAAATACAGAAAAACTTCCTGAATAATCAACAGAAAACTTGCAGGAGAGAACCCTGACACCTGAGGACCAAAAGTGGAGACTGCATAGCGAATGGTAGGAGGGGTGGAAGCAAAAGGGCTGGCTGGTTGCCCATAGGCAGCAAATGAAGGCCCTGTGAGATATTTCAGATGTGGGGAGTTGCCACTGAGAACTCTGGGATCTAATCCTGAAGCTGGGCATCTCAGCAGAGAGCACCAAAACTGAGGAGAATATCCACATAACATCAGGCTGTGAAAAGCAGCAGGGTGCTGTCTGCCAGAGTGTAACACCTGAAAACATGGATCATTCACAAACATAGACCAGATGTTAGGATACAAAACAAATCTCTACAAGTCCAAGAACATTGAAATCATATCAAGCATCTTCTCAGATCACAGTGACATGAAATTAGAAATAAACTACAGTAAAATACCCCCAAATATTCAAACACATATAGCATGTTATTAAACAATAAATGGGTTATGAGATCAAGAAAGAAATAAAAAAACTTCCTAGAAACCAATGAAAATGAATACACAACTACCCCAAATTTCTGGGACATAGCAAAAGCCGTCCCAAGAGGGAAGTTCATACACAGAACTAGAGGCATACCTCAAAAATAAGAAAAAATAGCAATAAACTATTTAATCCTACAACTTCAAGAACTAAAAAAAAAGAACAACAAGAAAAGCCCAAAGTAAGTAGAAGGAAGGAAATAATAAAGATTAGAGCATAAATAAATAACATGGTGTGAAACAAACAAAAAAACAATACAAAAAAAATCAATGAAACCAAGAGCTGATGCTTTGAAAGGATAAACAGATAAACAGAGTTGATAAACCATTAGCCAGACTCATCAAGAAACAGAGAGAAAGGACCCAAATAAACAAGATCAGAAATGAAAGTGCAGAGTAACCACTGATACCACATAAATACAAATGATTGTAAGACAATACTAAGAACAACAATATGTGAACAAGCTGGACAATATGGATGAAACAGATAAATTCTTAGAAAAATACAATCTCCGAAAATGGAATCAGGAAGAATAAAAAAACCTGAATAGGCCAATAACAACAGATAAAATAGAAGCAGTAATAAAAATTCCCACCAAACAAAAGCCAAGGTCCAGACAGCTTCACAGCGGAATTTTATCAAACATTCAAAGAACTAACACCTATACTCCTTAGTCTATTTCAGAAAACCCAAGAGAAAGGAACACTTTCCCTGTGTCCCAATATGTGGTCTATATTTGAAAATGTCCCATGTGTGCTTGAGAAGAATGTATATTCTGTAGTTTTGGGAATGTTCTCAAGTTGTTAAGTCCATCTGATCTAGTGAGTTGTTTAGCATTGCTGTTTCTTTGCTAATTTTTTGTCTAGAGGATTTATCCAGTGATGTTAATGGTGTATTAAAGTTTCCTACTATAGCAGAGTCCAGTTTGGCTCAATGGATAGAGCGTCAGCTTGGAGACTGAAAGGTCCTGGGTTCGATTCTGGTCAAAGGCATGTTCCTTGGTTGCAGGCGTATCCCCAGTGGGGGGTGTGCAAGAGGCAGCTGATTGATGACTCTCTCTCATCGATGTTTCTAACTCTCTCTCTCCCTTCCTTAAAAAAAAAAAAAAAAATCAATAAAATATTTTTAAAAAAGTAAATTGGCTATTTAAAAATCCTAAAAAAGTGAAAATAATTAAATGACAGCAAAATAAAAAGCAACTTATTTCTTAACAATATGATTAAAAAACATATGGAAATGACTGGTAATAAAAGTGATAATATTACTCAAAACATTTTGTGTGTTTTGTTGTTTTAATGTAAAACCATTTCATTCTAAATCAAATCACTTTTACAACAGTGAAAATTCACAACTGGTCAAGATGTGCCACTGTACATGGTGTCTTTTTCTGCCTGTGGCTGGACCTGGTCCTGATCCACACAGGCAGCAGGCGTAGGAGTAGAGACTAAGAACATAGAAAGCACACACCGAAGAAAAGTGCCTTGGCAGGGGAAGGTGGTGAGCCCGTGGAGGGGTGGTGAGGAGGCTCTTTCAGGGCTGGGCCAGAAACCCAAAATCTGCTTTCCTGCCCCAGCTCCTGGCAAAGGATGGTGGGGACCTATTAGGTTAAAATTAAAAGGTAGGTAGCCAATGTGGCTTTGTTAATTGGTTCCTAGGATACCTTTCTTGGTAGAGCTTGTCTGGGCTCTCTTCCAAATGATTATAACTTTTTAAATCCTCACCTGTGGATATGTTTTTATTGATTTTAAAGATAGACAGAGGGTGCGAGGGGGAAATATTGATGTTAGAGAGAAACATCAATTTGTTGTCTCTCATCCACATCTTGTCCAGGGATCGAACTTGCAACCTGGGTATATGCTCTGACTGGGAATCAAACCCGAAACCTTTGGATCTACAGGATGACACTCCAACCAAGCCACCCAGCCAGGCCTCCGAAAATGTTTTAAAAAAAGGGTAATAAACCATGCAATAAAAGTTATATTAATTATATAATACTTGATTCAGTATAGTCAGAGCTATAATGCTTGGTACAGGGTTAATATAGCTCATGCAATAAATATGAATGAATGGATTAGACAAACTATTTCACTATTCCCTCAACATAATCTGTTGTTTAATTAAATGAAGGTTTTTTTTGTAATCATATTTGAGAAAACAGATTTTAGTAAATTTTAATATTTAAAATAAAAAGAAGATACTGAAACAGGAGCCTTACCTTGCAAATACCCTGTCCTTATTTGCTTTTTCTTTGCCATACTGAACTGACTGGACTTCAGTTCTCCCGCTGAAATACATAAATATGCACAATAAAATATTGAAGAGAATTCTAAAATAACACACAACATGATTATATTACAATCTCTTAAGAGATAAGATATTTCTAGCAGGGAAAAGAAAGCAAAGGTTAATACTTAATGACTGGACTATATTCTAGTTCTAGCTGAATGTATGAAACTTAATTAAGTTCTCTCATTAATCAACACAAATGTGTTCCACAGACACTTCCTTATTTGGGAGTAAATATGAAATAAATAATTTTGCATGAGAGGAATTCTTCTCTGCTATGCCCTGTAAAAGTACTCCCCTCTGGACTGAGATAGGCTGTTGTGTCTCAGTTCATCTAAGCCCTGCCCTTACCCTAGAGACCTGTGGTTAGGTGGTGTCTCTATTACTACAGGTAATGAAGGCCTGAAACATGGACATCTCGAAGAACAGCTCTTTCCTTAGATAAACTTTTCCTCATCTACAGGTAATGGTTACAGATAAAAAGACTGGTTATATTGTGGTCAACGAAAGTACTTGTATGCATATATGCATAACCCATGGACACAGACAATAGAGTGGTGAAGGCCTGGGGCAGGGGCAGGCTAAGATTGGGGGAGGTGGAGGACCTATGTAATCCTTTCAACAATAAAGATTAAAAACAAACAAAAAAAGACTGGTTACATCCTCACCATATTTCATGTCCAGACACAAAAAATTCCAGATTTTTGTGTATATAAAAAGGAACTAAGAACAGAAATATGATTTGGAGTTGGGCACTACCGAAGATTTTTCTTAAAGCTGATTTGCCTAGCAAGTATACTGTTTATGTACAGGAGTTGACTCTCCATTGTGATATTCCAATGATTAAAGATCAAATTTGTAAATAAAAACTTGGTTCTCAGAGAATTTGTTACTTGACACATCACACTTAACTGAATGTACATAAATGTCTAATTTATCAAATATAAACATTTACATATGCAGATATCTAATACATATAAATGAGTATAGCTAAATGTAAATAGAATGGCATGTCTGTTGAAGCTTTAATGGAAACGTTAGAAATGTTACTATGATTTTTAAATTTAGACAAGTTGAAGTTTAAGAAATTATATTTCCTTTAAGAAGAGATTGAACTTGCAACCTTTAAGAAGAAAATATAATTTCTTAAACTTCAACCTGTCTAAATTTAAAGGAGCAGGCCTAAGCCATTAATCGGATATCCTTAGCACTGCTGTGTTGATGGGAGAGGCTGCCACCACCATCGCTGCTCTTGCCAGCCGTGAGCCTGGCATCTGGCTGAGTGGTACTACCCCTGTGAGAGTGCATTGACCACCAGGGGGCTGCTCCTGAATTGAGCATCTGCCACTTGGTGGTCAGGGCACATGGCAACCTGTTGTTCTGTTTTTTTTTTGTGTCAATTTGCATATTATCCTTTTATTATATAGGCGTAGAGGCCTGGTGCATAAAAATTCTTGCATTGCAGTGGAGGGTAGAGGGGAGGTCCCTCAGCCCTGGTGATCAGGTGAAGGTGATGCCCCATCACACTCCTGCTGCTGACACTGCCGGCAGCACAAGCCTTGGCCGGCCATGGTTACCTAACCCTCGGGCAGCCCTTGGCAGCTGGGCAGCTGCAATCTGAGGCTTGCCTGCACTTCAGGCCGGCCCTGGGCACCTGGGGGCTAAGGGGAACTCCAAAGGCAGGCGTGTGGGGTAGGCCCAGCCTTTCTGCGCGCCTGCCACCCTGGTATGGCTAAGGGGACTGGGCGTTGCCATCTTGTGGCTGTGGGTACCACCATTTTTGAGGGTGTGACAATCAATTAGCATATTTCCTCTTTAATGGCTGTGGGCACTACTATCTTTGAGGGGGGCAGTCAATTAGCATATTCCCATCATTGGCTGTGGGAGCCAACATCTTTGCAACAGTGTGAGGGTCAATAGCATATTCCCTCTTTATTAGATAGGATACTTAGTTTAGTTTAATATTTAAAGGGTTTAATCTTGATTCTTAGTTCTTTTTGCAAGATACTCCTTGATTTATTTTAATTATTTATTGAATTTTATTGATTTTAGAGAGAGGAAAGGAAAGAGGGAGGGAAACAGAAAAGAAGGGAGGAAGAGAGGTATGGAGAAAACCATCAATTTACTATTCCATTTATTTATATATTCATTGGTTGATTTTGGTATATACTCTGACCAGGGATTGAACCCACAACCTTGGCATATTGGGATAACACTTTAACCAATTTATCCAGTCAGGGCCAGTTCATGAGCTATTTTCTGTTAATCTTCACCCGAGGATAAATTTTTTCATTGATTTTTTTTTTTTAGAGAGTGGACGAGACAGAGAGAGAAAAATCAATGCGAGAGAGACACACTGATTGATTGCCTCCTGCACATGCCACTACCATGGTGGGATGGAACCTCCAATTGAGGTAAGTGCCCTTGACTGGAAAGTGAACCTGAAGGCTGAAGCTCTATCCACCGAGTCAAACCAGCTAGGGTTCATGAGCTATTTTAATTTACCTCTTGAATAGCTCAATTTTACTATTAAATGTATTTTCAAAGTATATTTTTATTGATTTCAGAGAGGAAGGACAGGAAGAGATAGAAACATCGATGATGAGAGAGAATCATTGATTGGCTGCCTCCTGCAAGACCCCCTACTGGGGAGAGGCCCAAACAGGGACACTCAATCACTGAGCCATGCTGGCTGGCACCATTAAACATTTTTAAAAAATGGGTTCAGAAATGTTATATTTATTTTTGTTAATGTCTAAATTTCAATGGCAACCTTGCTAAGTAAAATATTTTTTTGGTCATGTTTTTCCTCTTTCAGACATGGTAGATAAGCCTAAAAAAAAAGTTTCTGCATGCCCCCCCCCCCCCCTTGTTCCCCCTATTGAAGATCGAGCCTGCAACCTGGACATATGCCCTGAGTGGAAATTAAACCTGCAACCACTGGTGTATAGGATAATGCTCAACAACTGAGACATACTAGCCAGGGCTGGATAAAAGCTTTGTCACTCAAGATTTAAAAATTAGAGGCCCGGTGCATGAAATTTGGGAATGGGTGGGGGGGTGTCCCTCAACACAGCCTGCACCCTCTCTAATCTGGGACATTCCCCTCACAATACAGGCCCGCTGACTCCCAACTGCTCGCCTGCCTGCTTTCCTGATTGCCTCTAACCACTCTGTCTGCCAGCCTGATCACTCCCTAACCACTCCCCTGTCTAACTGCTCCTCTACCAGCCTAAATGCCCCTAACTGTCTTTCCCTGTAGGCCTGGTCACCCCCAATTGCTCCCCTGCAGGCCTGGTCCCTCCCTACTGCCCTCCCCTGCTGGCCATCTTGTGGCTGCCATCCTGTGTCCACATGGGGGTGGCCATCTTGTGTGTTGGAGTGATGGTCAATTTGCAAATTACTTTTATTAGATAGGATATTTAATCCAAACTGACAAATCTCTAGTGAGAATATTCAGAAAGAAAAGAGAAGAAACATAGTATCAATATCAAGAATGATAGAAATGACATTCTTACAGATTCTGGAGATATAAAGATAACAGAAAAATATTATAAATTTTATATTAAAAAATTCAACAACTTAGATGAAATAAATTTTTAAAAAAAATATATTTTATTGATTTTGAACAGAGAGGAAGGGAGAGAGATAGAGAGCTAGAAACATCGATGAGAGAGAGTCATCGATCAGCTGCCTCTTGCACACCCCCCACTGGGGATATGCCCGCAACCAAGATACATGCCCTTGACCAGAATCGATCCTGGGACCCTTCAGTCCACAGGCTGACGCTCTATCCACTGAGCCAAACCGGTTTCGGCAAAATAGATAAATTTCTTGAAAAACACCTATTAATGCATGTTCAGGAAGAGAAATCCTGAATTGTTTTATAGCTAATAAAGAATTTTCATGTGTAGTTCAAAAGTTTCCTGTAAATAAAACTTCTGCCCTACATGGATTAATTGGTAAATTCCATTAAACATTTCAAAAGAAAATAATACCATTACCACAGAAAGTCTTCTAGAAAGTTGAAAATAAGGAAATATTAGTACCTCCCAACTTATTTTTTCCCCCAACTCACTTAATGAGGTCAAAAACCTAACACCAAAACCTGACAATGACATTATTAGAAAACTACAAAATAATATCCTTCATGAACATGATGCCAAAATTCTAAATAAAACTTTAGCAAAGTGAATAAAATTAAAAAAGGGTAAAAGATGATGGCAAAGTAAGGTTTATCAGTGGAAAGCAGGGAAAGTTTTAAGACATGAAAAATCAATGTCACTCATCATATAAAGAAACTTAAAAAAAAAAAAAAAAAGACCTTGCTTCTAAAAGAAAAAAAAATAACATAATGATAAAACAAACAAACAAACAAAAAAAACAACTAAAAAGAGAGGGGAAAAAAAAAAACTAAGTTGGAGGACTAATACTATTGATTTTAAAACTTATTAGATATAAGACCAAAAACAAGACTATAAAAATCTGAATTATTGATTTTCAACCAAGGTGCAAGAGCCAAGTCAATGGAAAAATGGACAATCTTTTCAATAAATTGTGCTGCGACAACTGGATGTCCATATGCAATAACAAAAACAAAAACTCTTACAAAATCAATCCATATTCCCCACCATAAACAAAAATTATTTCAAATGAATCACATACCTAAATGTTAAGAGCTAAAACTACAAAACACATAGAAGAAAACAGGAATGAATCTTAGTGACCTGGGGTTAGGCAAAGATTTCTTACATATGAAACAGAAAGAAAAATCCATAAAAGAAAAATTGGCAATTTGAACTTCATCAAAATTATGTTTTTCAAAAGACACTAGTAAAATGAAAAGATTCTCACCAATGAATGTTGGTGAGAATATACTGATTGGAAATCTCATACATTGCTGGTGGGTACATATAATCGTACAAACTCCTTTAAAAAAATGACTGGCAGATTTTTCAAAGTTAAATATTTACCACATGATTTGGGCATTCCACTCTTAAGTATTTAATCAAGAGAAATTGAAGCAAACATTTCACATGAATGTTCACAGTAGCTTTATTAATAGCCCAAACTTGGAAACAACCCAAATGGGGAAACAAACCATTATATATCCATAATCAAGTGAATGGATAAAAAGCTACAGTATATCTATACAAGGGAATACTACTCTACAAAAAAAAGAAATGAGCCATCAATACATGTAACAACATAGATACATTTTAGAATATCTATGTTTAGTAAAAGAAGCCAGACTAAAATACAAACATGCAATATACATGCTTAAACTGATATAAAACCTTAAAAAAACCAACTATTTACATATAAAATATACTGTTGGTTTCATGAGGATATAAAAGAGTGGGAGAAAGAAATTACACAAGGGTTTGGGGAAACATTTTGGGTAGATATGCTAGTGATCGTGAATGGTGATGGATTAATGGATATGTATCTCCAAATATCAATTTTAAAACTTTAAATATAGTAGCTTACTGTTTATCAATTACATCTTTTTAAAAATATATATTTTATTGATTTTGTACAGAGAGGAAGGGAGAGAGATAGTTAGAAACATCGATGAGAGAGTCATTGATCAGCTGCCTCTTGCGGGGATCTGCCCGCAACCAAGGTACATGCCCTTGACCGGAATCGAACCCGGGTCTCTTCAGTCCCCAAGCCGACGCTCTATCCATTGAGCCAATCTGGTCTCGGCTATCAATTACATCTTAATAAAGCTGTTTAGAAATTCAAAACCTGCTAGTAATAGGCCCATATTCCCCCAAGGACAGTAATAGGCTGCAGGGCAGGTATTGCTCTTCTCCCCACCAATATTTTATTTTTTTTAAACTAATTTCTTTAGCTTCTTCATTTAAAAAAAATAAAAAAATCAATATCCATGTAGAAATTTCATTCTGTTTCAGTGATGATTTATCTCCAAACTGTTTAAACTCTCTTTTGTATTTGTAATCATTATGATTAGATTTTGTTTGCTGTGGTATAGGTTGGGTAAATTCCTTGATTTTTTTCTCAGCCGAGACCTGTTTTGAATTATAATAGTGTAATAAATTAGGCCGTTTATTACAATCTATTCATTTCTTTGCTGCTAAGCAAAATGGTGTGTGCATTATTTATATTTATACTAGGGGCCCATGCATAAAATCTGTGCAAGAATAGGCCTTCCTTCTCTCAGCTGCTAGCCCGGGCTTCCCTCTGGGACCTGGACTTCCCTCGCAGTCCTGGCTTTGTGTGGAAAGTTGTCCAGTCTAATTAGCATTTTATGCTTTTATTATTATGGATTGTATTTTCAAGGACAGAGGAAGATTAAAGATAAGTATAGTCCTTGTACAATAACTCTGGAGGTTGCTTAATTAGGAATGAAGTTTATTGAGACCATTATGGTTAGTACTACTCTTTCATTAGAGATTTCTTTTGTCTTTGCTGAGGAATAGTACCAATATATAATGTTTAGTAAAATTTTCCTTGACTTTCACTTTTGATCTAACACTTACTCTGTCTATTTACCTTTGAATTTGCAAGTACCACTGCCTTAGTTTGTCCAATATTGCTTTTAGGAAGGTGAGCTAGGAATTAAACATGACACCAAGCTACTTAAAAATCTGCTGTGCCTGAAAAAATAAAAAGTTTAAAAATATATATATTTTATTCATTTTTTACAGAGAGGAAGGGAGAATGATAGAGAGCTAGAAACGTCGATGAGAGAGAAACATCGACCAGTTGTCTCTTGCACACCCCCTACCAGGGATGTGTCCGCAACCAATGTACATGCCCCTGAACGGAATCGAACCTGGGACCTTTCAGTCCGCAGACCGACGCTCTACCAATGAGCCAAACCGGTTTTGGCAAAAGTTTTTTATTGATTTTAAAGAGGGAAAAGGAAAGAAAAACATTGATCAATTGCCTCCCGCACCGCCTCCTATTGGGCATCGAGCCTGCAACACAGGCAGGTGCCCTGACCTTTTGGAGCATGAACGATATTAAAATTTTCCCAATTCTGTTTGTGTTGCTACTGAATCTTTTGTGGGAGGGGAAGGCATGCATTTTAAATAAAATAACCTAATAGAGGCCTTATGCTGTTATTTTTTTCTAATTAGCTACCCCCAAAGATTGTTGCCTTCAGGAAAAAAATAAAAGCTATCACAAATAAAAAATACAACAATATTAGGAAAATGACCTAGGGCTACTTTTCAGTTATTAAATCTGATTTTGTATAACAGCTGTTTTGAACTTTGTACAATAAAGGGTTTGAGAACTCAGACACAAAATAAGCCAAGTATTAGTATAATATGCTTATGCAGAAAACAGCTTACAAATACATGGTGTCTTGGAACAAAGAAGTTTTCTTGTAAATGTTTAATAAAAACATAATAGAAATTTTAACAGTTCTAGAATATAAATAATTAAATATCATTGATTTACTATAGGAACTAATGAAATGAAATAAAGTCAAAGAAACAGGTTTTTCACAAGAACCTATAGAACTTTTTGTTGATATAGTCATGGAGATTTTGATTCATAGGTACGTATAAGTAACAACAATTCTATGGTTCAATAAACTATTGATTTAAAGGGAGGAAAAATTTAGCAACGCAGCATTAATGCAAAAGCAATACTTACCAGTACCGGAATTTTGAACCTAATGTAAAATAATGTGCAAAAAAATTCTTTTGAGGTGGAAGTGGTCTGTCCAAACGGAAGAATGTGTGATGTTCTACACATGCTTTCCACAAATTTTTGCATGCTCTATAGTTCATCATATTAAATCCCAATAAGGTTTCTCTGGATTCGTGCTGTAATAATAAAGTAGAAAATGCCAGGAATATATTAAGATCTTATGCTCCATTTACCTTTTATAAACTAGAAGCCTGGTACAGAAGATTTGTGCACAGGGGGGTGGAGTGGGTCTCCTCAGCCCAGCCTGCACCCTCTACAATCCAGGACCCCTGGAGGGATGTCTAATTGCCTGTTTAGGCCCAATCCCTGGTATTGGGCCTAAACCGGCAGTTGGACATCCCCCTCACAATCCTGGACCACTGGCTCCTAATTGCTCTCCTGCCTGCCTGCCTGCCTGGTCACACCTAACTGCTTCCCACCCTCCACCCCCACCGGCCTGATCACCCCTCACCACTTCTGCGTGCCAGTCTGATTACCCCTAAGTGCCACTTACTGCCAGCCAGGTCATCCTCAACTGTCCCCCCTGCCGGCCTCATGGCCCCCAACTGCCCCCCCCCAACCTGGTTGCCCCCAATTGCTCCCTTGCTGGCCTGGTTGCCCCTCGGAGCCCAGCCTGCTGTCCTTTGGTTGTCCCTCACTAACCCCCCTGCCAATCTGGTTGCCCCACACAGCCTGCTTGTTCAGTTGTTTGGTCATTAACCCCACTGCCGGCCTGGTCATAGGCAGCCATTTTGTGAGGGTGTGATAGTCAATTTGCACATTACCTCTTTATTATATAGGATATATGCCTTCCTACCAGCAGTGTGGTCCCACATACTCTCCACTGACTTATCAATCTTTTCATTATACTATTCTGGTGGATATGAAGTATCCCATTTTTGTTATTTGTCCTTCCCTGATGATTAGTGAGGTTCAATATCTTTGCATGTTACTGGCCATGTGGATACCCTAATCTCTGCAGTGTCTGTTCAATCCACTAATATGTTTTTAGATTAGATTGGATATACAACCCAGGATGCAGTGTGTGTGTGTACATATTCTGTGATACTTCACTCTCTTAATAATGTCTTTTGATGAATACAGTTATTAATTTTAACATAGTTCAAGTTATTGAATTTTTCTTTTCATATAGTTTTGCTTCTCTGTCCTGTTAAAGAACTCTTTGCCCATCAAAAGGTCATAAAGGTATTTTTTCATAACTAAAATACAGAAAAATGCCCAAATATAAATATTAAATTACTGTTAGAAGATAATATGCTTACATATCACTTCTAGAAGGTCAAAGAAATCTTAATTATGCTTAAGGGTTGTTTTGCATGAACTACATAGTTACATATTGTACCACATACCATATATAATGAAAACTGACAGAGAATGTCTCAGAATATGACTGCAGTAACTGTTCTGTGCTTCCTCCTTTGACACTGAACTTCAAAAAGTATACATGTGATTCTGACATTCTTCTAATTATATTTGAAATGTAACAAACTTTTTCACACATATTGTAAACAATAGATATGCTAACTGTGGTATTGAGAAATAAGTAGATTTCTATAAAGTTTGGGTATTTAAAAATAAAGAGATATTTCAGAGAGAAAACATTAAAAGGCACCATTCTGCAGAGTATGCCTATCTACAGTCTTTAACCAATTGTTAATTGACTTTTTGTTATTGATATTACCTGAAGCTAAACACATTCCTAATAATACATTATCTGAGGCAATGGCTGTAAGAATTACTTGATATGATAATGATTGGTATATTACCAGGCACACAGTAAATGTTAGATACTAAAAGTACTGTTATGATGAGTAATAACAATAGTACTGTAAGAGGAAGCAAGTTAGAAAAGTTGACTTATTTACTGTCTTCTACCTATATAAGGTAAAATATTTGTTCTCCAGTTACCAGATAAGACATATTTTATTCCTCTAAACATTTATTGAAACATGTAAAAAATGCTCATAAGTAGGATTAATAATAATAGCTACAATCTGAAAATGACAAAACTGTTCACTAACATAAGAATAAATAACTATGGTATATTCATTCTGTAGAATAGCATACAGCAATAGAGCAAACTACTGCTATGTCCAAAAACATGGGTGAACTTTATAATGTTAAGAGAGAAAAAGCAGACAAAAGGAGAGCATTCTATGGAATTTCTTTGAAGTTCAAAAATAAACAAACTAATCCCTGGTGATATAAATGAGAGTAATGTTTGCATTTTGGAGGAGTTAAGGACTGCAAGTGGGCATCACCTCCATTAGCAATAATATCAGTTTCTGGGGTGGTAGTAAATTATTCTATTTCACTATAACTCTGTTGAAAAAAGTTTATTTCGTGAGCATAAATGATGAATTATAGTGACTTAGTAGATCACTATCTTCTGATAAAATGCAGCTGATTCAAATACAATTTTAAGATCTTGAATATATTTTACACATACACAACAATCTGAAACCTAAATTAATTTGTCAAGATTTCTGAGAAATAATATACGTTAAAGAATGAGATTCGTCTAATTTGATAAAATAAAAATAAAAAACTACAAGATGAAATTCTTTCCAACACTACTTTCCATGATAATACAATATGTTGTATTTAATATATAAAAAGGACACTGCCACAACAAAAAAGGGAGAAATGAACTATATGTTCATGAACAAGAAATAAAACTAAACACTCAAGTTCCCTAAAATAAAATGAGCTTATATATCAAAGGAACTGCTATAGATTTAGTAGGAAAAAGAAAAAGAAACATAAAATACTCATTTACTGCCCTCATGAATGGACCCTGGGGACTGATATTAAACATCATGACTGAGGTCAGTTTTTAAGGTTAAAAGATAGCAGAATGGATAACTAGAAAAACTTTAAATCATAACCACAGAAACACTGGGAAAATAATACATCTTGTCATAAATTGTGAATTAAGTCAGAAAGTAGTTATCAATCTATACTATAAAAGGGTAATATGCTAATTAGACCAGGTCAACGGGCCATCTTCCAGATGTCTAACTTCCTTCTGGACAAAGCCACGGTGGCTGCAGCCAAGGCAGAGGCGATTAGGGGCAATCAGGCTATCAGGGGCAATCAGGCTGTCAGGGGCTATCAGGCCATCAGGGAAGCAAGCAGTAAGGGGTGTGATCAGGCTGGCAGGGGAGGACAGTGTGGGGTGATCAAATTGGCAGGGGAGGGCAGTTGGGGGCGATCAGGCTGATAGGGGAAGGCAGTTGAGGGTAATCAGGCAGACATTGGCTGATAACCACCCGATCCCTGAGCTTGGACCTAAACTGGCAGTCAGATATCCCCCAAGGGGTCCCAGATTGGGGAGGGTACAGGCCGGACTGAGGGACCCCCCCCTCAGGTGCACAAATTTCATGCACAGGGCCTCCAGTATTAATAACACTTTCACGAGCACTAAAAGTTGTCATGAATGACCTGTGATTTCTTAAGACTTCTTTATATTGATAATTATTAGACCAATACTCACCAACTCTTTTCTAAGTTGAATAAAAAACTGTTTGCACTTAAATGAAATTTTTACAATCTTCAACCTAGATAAAAAGAAACAGAACTTAAGTATTTAAAATACTGATTAAAAACATAAATATTAGCAAATTAAGAAAGCAATTATTTTAAAAGATTGATAAAATTTATAAACCTCTAGCCAAACTAAAAAAAAGAGAATACAACACGAGTACTAATATCAGAAGTGAAGAGTAGACATTACTATAAATAAAACTGATATTAAAAGCATAATAAAAAATACTATAAACAAGTCTAGATCCACAAATTTGATAATTTCAGTGAAAATGAACCAATTTTTTGAAAGACACAATCTGCTAAAATTAATATAGGAAGAAATACTTGGCCTAAATGGGCCTATACAGTAGTCCTCCTTCATTTGCAGGCTATCAACTTCAATACCCAGTGAATACCTGAAAATGCATATAATATTGAACCCTACCTCTGAATGTTTTCCCCCCCTATACATACATACTTTTTCATCTAAAGGAAGCAATTTATGGCTTCTTTAAAAAAATAAAAAATAAATAAATACACACACACACACACACACACACATTTTTTACAGTGAGTTAGAAACATCGATGAGAAAGAAAGATCGACCAGCTGCCTCCTGCCCCCCACCTCCCAGGGATGTGCCTGCAGCCAATGTACATGCCCTTGACCGGAATCGAACCTGGGACCCCTCAGTCCACAGACCAATGCTCTATCCACTGAGCCAAACTGGTTTCGGCAACTTATGGCTTCTTTTTGGCAGCATCACTAAGTTTTGCACTTTGGGCCATTGGTAAGTAAAATAAGGGTTACTTGAACATAAATACTAAGATCTGAAAACTAAGATCTGATACTAGGTGACTGATGGGCAAGTATCGAATATGCTGAAAAAAGGATGAGTCACACCCCTGGCTGGATGGAGCTGGACAATTCAAGATTCCATCATCCTACTCAGAACAGCATACAATTAAAAATTTAGGAATTGTTTATTTCTGGAATTTTCCATTTAACATTTTCAGTCTATGGATAACTGAAACTGTTGAAAGCAAACTGCAGATAAGTGGAGATTACTGTAGATATTAGATATTAAAGGAATTTTTAAAAAGTCACCAGGACCACATGTATTCACTAGCGAAGTATACAAAAAATTTAAATATTATACCAATTCTTTACAATCCCTTTCAGAGTATAGAATCAGAGGTAATATTTCCAAAGCCATTTTATGAGGTCAGAATTATCCTAATACCAAAACTAGAAAAAGACCTTACAAGAAAACTATAAAACAGCTTCTCTCATAACCATAAATTTAAAAAAAAATCCTAAATAAAATATTATCATATGAAATCTAACAATTCCAGGTGGTATTTATCCCAGAAATGCAAGCCTTTTGAAAATCAATTAATATAAACAAATACTTCAAAAGACTAAAAGAGAAAAAATATTACATGATCACATCAATACATTCAGAATAAGCATCTGACAAAATCCAATGCCTAGTCATGATTAAAAACCCTCAATAAAGTAGAAATAGAGGAAAACTTTCTCAACTACGTACTTTCTAACTTGCAGTTAACATACTTAATGGTGTGAAATTAGTGTTCTATCTAAGATCAGGTAAAATGTAGGGAAGTCCCCTTTAACGACTCCTCTTCATTAAGGCAAGAAAAGGAAACAAAAGATAACTGTTTGAAAAGGATCATATAATACTATCTTTGTTCACAGATGACATAATTGTCTATGTAGAACATCCAAAAGAATCAAACAAAAAATCTCCTGGAACTAATAATTGATGATAGTAAAGTTGTAGAGTACACAGTTAATATACAAAAGTTCACTGCTTTCCTGTACAGCCACAATAACCAAGTGGAATTTGAAATTAAAAACATTAATACCATGTACATTAGCACCCCCCAAAATGAAATACTTAAGTATAAATCTAAAAAATATGCACTAGGACTATATGAAGAAAATTATAAAACTCCAATGAACAAAAATGACAAAGATATAAATAAATGCAAAGAAATTCCAAGTTCCTGGTTAGGCAGAATCAGTATTGTTTGCCAAAGATGTCAATTCTGTCCACTTTGATCTATAGATTCAATGCAATCCCAATAAAAATCCCATGAAGTTATTTGTGAATACTGACAAATTGATTCTAAAGTTTATATGGAGAGGTGAAAAATCCAGAATAGCCAACATGTATTAAAACAGTGGTCAGTAAACTCATTAGTTAACAGAGCCAAATATCAACAGTACAACGACTGAAATTTTGAGAGCCAAATTTTTAAACGTAAACTTCTTCTAATGCTACTTCTTCAAAATGGACTCGCCCAGGCCGTGGTATTTTGTGGAAGAGCCACACTCAAGGGGCCAAAGAGCCACATGTGGCTCGCAAGCCTCAGTTTGCCGACCACAGTATAGAAAAACAACAAAGTTGGAGGAGTGATGGTACCTGAGTTAAAATCTTACTATAAAGCTATAGTAATCAAAATAGTATAGTATTTGTGAAAGAATAGACAAAACAGATCAATGTTATAGAATAGAGAACTCAGAAACAGACCTCCATAAATAAAGTCAAATGATCTTTGAGAGACGGCAAAGGCAATACAATGAAGCAAAGACAGTCCCTTCAACAAATGTATCTGGAACAACTGGACATCCACATGCAAAAACAAAGTAAATTTAGACAAAGACCTTATAATCTTCACAAAAATTAACTCAAAATGGATCAGAGACTTAGACATAAGATGCAAAATCATAAAACTCTTAGATATAGCAATGGAAAAAAAATCTAGATGCTCCTTGAGTATAGGGATGCTCAAGGCAGGGGGGTGAAGCCTCAGGTCCCTTGGCCTGGTGCTGGGGTGGGGTGCGGGGCCTGGTTCTCCAGACCCAGCATTGGGGGTGCACCTTGAGGTCCCGTCAAGCCACGCTGGGTGGGGGGCCCGTCCTCAGGTCCCTTGGCCTGGTACTGGGGCAGGGGTCGTGGCCTCAAATTCCCTGTCAAGCCCTGCCAGGTGTGGGATGCAGCCTGAGATCCCTTGTCAAGTCCCACGGGGGGAGGGGAAGGCATAGCCTTAGGTCCCTGATGATTGCTTGTTAAGACTCCTTATGGGAACTTGGCCTCAACTGTGGGTACAGCCATCTTTGTGATGGAGTGGTGGTCAATTAGCATATCCCCTCTTTATTAAATAGGATTCTTGCCTTAATATGCTTGTTAGGACTTAAATAACAAAGCTGAATTAGAGAGAGTAAGCATATTTTTTCCTGATTTTACTTACATGAAAAGCATTGACACTTTCATTATTTAGCATAACATTAACAGATTTTCCATAGATACCTTAATCAGGGTATCCTTTTATATATACAAAAATGTACATACACTTTGAATACTTATAAAGTTTATTAAAATATACTTCATCATCTGGCTGGTGTGGCTTAGTTGTCGAGCGTTGACCTATGAACCAGGTCAAGGTTCCATTTCCAGTTAAGGAACATGCCCAGGTTCTGGGTTAGATCCTCAGTAGGGTGTGTGCAGGAGGCAGCCAATCAATGATTCTCTCTCATCAGTGATGTTTTTATCTCTCTCCCTTTCAGAAATCAATGAAAATCATTTTTTTAAAAAATTACTATAATTTGCCGAGACCGGTTTGGCTCAATGGATAGAGCGTCGGCTTGGGGACTGAAGGGACCCTGGTTCGATTCCGGTCAAGGGCATGTATCTTGGTTGCGGGCATATCCCCAGTAGGGGGTGTGCAAGAGGCAGCTGATTGATGACTCTCTCTCATCGATGTTTCTAACTCTCTATCTCTCTCATTTCCTCTCTGTACAAAAATCAATAAAATATATTAAAAAAAATTACTATAATTTTTATGTTCAGAATGTGAACTATTAAAGTATGACTGTTATCACTGAATCACACTCGCCAGGGCTTGTGGACTACTTTTATGAACTCTATCTTCAGCAGTCAACCCTCAATATTAAGCTTCTACTGTTGCTTTTCAGGAAGGCACAGCTTTGAATATGCCCACAGTAACCTAAAATGAGAGTGATACCAGTCATTCCAGTCTTTCAATAAGCACTCCTAACTTTAACACTCCCTTACCCACACTACCGGTACTCTGTTTTCAATAATGCCCGGGGCATAAATTCATTTAGAAACTAAGGCTCTCAAATTGTAGCTCTCTATCCCTCTCTCCTCCTCTCTGAAAAAAATCATATATATTTAAATTTTTTATTGTTTTTTTACAGATAGGAAAGGAGGAGGATAGTGAGTTAGAAACATTGATGAGAGAGAAACATTGATCAGCAGCCTCCTGCACACTTCCCACTGGGGATGTGCCTGCAATCAAGGTACATGCCCTTGACTGGAATCGAATCTGGGACCCTTCAGTCCACAGGCTGACCCTCTATCCACTGAGCAAACCAGTCAGTGCTGGACAAATATTTATAAAAACGTGTTTTCATTTCTCTTAGGTAATTATCTGGGAATAGAATTGTTGAATTATATGTCAATCTATGTTTAACTTTAAAGAGATTGCCAACTTTTCCATTTAAAAAAAGTTTTTATTGATTTTTAGAGAAAGAGGAAGGGGAGGATATAGACATATCGATGGTGAAAAAGAATCATATATTGGATGCTCCCTACTGGGGATTGAGCCTACAACCTAGCATGTACCATCACTGGGAATCCAACAGTGACCTCCTGGTTCATTGGCTGATGCTCAACCACCGAGCCACACCAGCTGCATAATACTGTCATTCTTTTTAATTGGAGCTTTTCTAGTGGTTGTTCAGTAATACTGCACTATGGTTTTAATTTGCATTTCACTGATGATTGAGCATCTTTTCATGTTGGCCATTTGTGTATCTTCTTCGGTTGAATTGTCTATTCAAGTATTTTTCTTATTTTTAAAATTAATTTGTCTTCTTATTACTGAGCTGTAAGTTCTTCATATATTCTTGGTAAATTCTTTGTTTTTAAAAATGTATGTCTTTTTTAAACAACAGTGTCTTGTCTTTAAATCTTTAGAGTATCTTTTGAAAAGCAAAAGTATTTAATTTTGATGTTCATTTATTAATTTTTTTTTCATGGTTTATATTCTTATGTCCTAACAAAAATTTATCTTTCTTTTAAAAAACAAAGTAGTGGAAATTTATAAAATAATTGCTCCTGTCGAAACCGGTTTGGCTCAGTGGTAGAGCGTCGGTCTGCAGACTGAAGGGTCCTGTGTTCGATTCCGGTCAAGGGCATGTACCTGGGTTGCGGGCACATCCCCATTAGGGGGTGTGCAAGAGGCAGCTGGTCGATGTTTCTCTCTCATCGACGTTTCTAGCTCTCTATGTCTCTCCCTTCCTCTCTGTAAAGAAAAAAAAAAAATCAATAAAATATAGAGAAAAAAAATAATTGCTCCTGTCAGTTAGTTACCCTATTTCTATTAAGAGTGAATACTATAAAAATGAAAACCATAGGTATTAAAAAATCGGGACCAAATATTTTGAGTTATAAAAAAAACAAAAACAAAACCAGATTAATATAATATAGTTCTTTTGTGTTTATTTCTTCCCCTAAAGAAAATCATTGTGTTTATTTTTTAAAAACCCGAGTAATTTATATGAGATATGATAAATGTGACTGTTAAGATTTTCATGTCATTCCATTAAAGGGAACTGGCAGATGCTACTTTTCCATTTTCTTCATTCTGGGATATAGAAGTGATGGTGGGTGAGTCATCCTAGACAGTGAGGACAAGGGTAATATACTAAGGACAGTAGAACTGAGATAAAAAGCAAAAATAAAAACATAGGCTTTATACCCCATGAAGCCACGATACTTTCTTAGCACCAATTTAAGCCACTGTAATATAAGTCTTAGTATGCCTGTGTTCCAAATAATAATCAGTACCTCAATGCATTTATTTATTTAAAATATATTTTATTGAATTTTTTTTTATAGAGAGGAGAGAGATAGAGAGCTAGAAACGTCAATGAGAGAGAAACATTGACCAGCTGCCTCTTGCATACCTCCTACTGGGGATGTGCCTGCAACCAACGTACATGCCCTTGACCGGAATCGAACCTGGGACCTTTCAGTCCGCAGACCAATGCTCTACCGCTGAGCCAAACTGGTTTTGGCTCAATGAATGCATTTAAATGAAATACTTACTGTATTTAAAGCAATGGTGATGGTGCAGGACAGAGTATACATGATGCTAGCTATCATATTACAGTACAAACTTAGAGATTCCCTAAGAGAAAAATTCATAAAGTAATATTTCTGAGAAGCTAAGCAATTTTTGAATAAATCAACACAATTATCTTGGTATCTTCTGGTAGATTCCAAGTAAGTAAAATAAATTTGCATGCCAATATTAATATACTTCATCATTTTCTTTAATATGAATTATCTTAGTAATATAAAAAAGCAAAAGTATTAATGGAAGTCCTTACCATGGAAAGGTATTCATTCGTACCCTGTTCTTATAAATGAGAATTCCTCCTGACATCACTCCAATCATAATTTCATTGTTACTTTGATCCTTCAAAAAAGAAAATGACAAATCTAAAATACTGGGCTTTATCTGATAAAAATATATTTTAAAAACAGGATTAGTTTTCTTTTTTATACAATGAGAAATTTTCAAAGGCACCACATCCTATATAATAAAACCCTAATATACAAATTGACCAAACGGCAGAATGACAGGTTGCTATGATATGCACTGACCATTGGCAGAAGCTCAAAGCAGGAGCTGTCCTCTGGTCACTGTGCTACCACAGGGGGAGCACTGCTCTGCCAGAAGCCGGGCTCAAGCTGGAAAGCGCAGCGGCAGAAGCCTCTCCTACCCTCAAGGCAGTGCTAAGGAGCAGCCAACCCAGCTCCTGGCTGGAGAGCGTGGTGTAGGTGGGAGCCTCTCCTGCCTCCGGCAGTCAGACACGCCCCAGGGGTCCCAGATTGCAAGAGGGTGCAGGCCGGGCTGAGGTACCCCCTCTGACTGCACAAATGTCGTGCACCAGGCCTCTAGTAATTGCATAGTTACAAATCCATATGGTAATTGTTACCTCATAAAAAATAAATGACATATTTCAAATCAAACTTAAACACTGCATTATTAAAAGTTATTATGATCTAAGGACTTCCCATAGTTTATACTTTATTTGGGACAGAAAATTAGAATGATGAGTTAGTATCCATCCTTCCATTCCTAAAATTCTTATGTTCCAATCATTGTGCAAATATAATGCTCTGACTGCAAAAAGTGAGTAAGAAAAATGGACTTCAGAGTTTGGTGAAGGGTAACCTGCAATAAAACAGTATTTTCAATATAAGAAAACTCCTATAATTAGCATAATACAATAAAATACATCATGGAATTATAGAGTGAGGAACAATTAATTGTTTGAGAGTTTGGAAGACTCTAAAGAAGAAAATCTGAATTGTGCTTTAAGAATTGAGTAAGAATTTTCATGTTAACTGATCGAACTTGAATAGCTAACATACATTATGAGGAAAATAAATAGAATTAAAATACTGTTTTTCAGATGCTAATCAACCTTGAAATGGTTTTGCTTTTTGACTTGAAACATTCCATAGGTAAACTGATATAGCAATAATGCTTTTACCACCTACTATCGATCTGCTCAAAAAAAATTGTTGAAAATATAAGATTTTATAATTGTCTCATAAGAAAACAAAAGTATTTAAATTGTTATAATAATTTCTAATTAAGTAAAACCTTATTAAATTAACCCATTAGGTAGAATAATACATAACGAGGTCAAACACAACAGTGTATGCTAATTTGTCTAGCTGCTCATTTTGTTTACCATTAACCAAAACCTGTACATTGTCATCAGAATCTTAAATCATTTTTAAAGGACATCAATTATAAGTCAGGACCAAAATGGCAGACTTAGCCTAATAGATGACAGACTTAATATATGCTCCTATTACTTTTTCAGCTCCCCATCAAAAAACATCAGAAAAGATATATGGAAAGAATGGACCCCTATTTCATAGCAGCACAATTCGCCATAGCTAAAATTTGGAAACAGCCTAAGTACCCATCAGCAGATGAGTGGATTAGAAAACTGTGGTACAGTTGTTCCAAGATGGCTGACAGATAAACACCTAGCCGCAGCTGCACACAACAATTTCAATAAAATACAACTAAAATATAAAATGGACATTACCCAGAACTACAGGAAAGTCGACTGACTGGAAATCCTACAGCGAGAAGCAAGGAGGAAACCAGAAGGAAGCGCGGAGGAGCTGGAAAAGCCTGAGGTACGGAGACACACTGCGCGCGTGGAGAGAACGGAGCCAGAGAGGAAGGAAGGGCGGCCGAGTGCCTGGCGGGCGTTCCCCAGCGAAAAGGAGATAAAACTCCGACTGTGCTGGGCCCCAGTTCTGACTGCTCTGAACCCCAGTTCTAGGCCAGACCCCGGGGACCCAGGCTCACACAAAGGGAGCTGGGCTGCAAGGCGGAGCCCCGGGGAAGAGGCGAAAGGAGGTCCCGGCGGCGGCGCGCAGAGAAGGGACGGTTGGCTGTGCCCTGGGATTGCCTGGCGGGAAGGAGACAGGGGCTCCAGACTGCTCTGAACGCCACCTCCAACTCCACTTCCAACTGAACTGAACCCCAATACCGGGCTCAATGGGTGAGAGCAGACTGTTTAGCAGCAGGCGAAAATCGAGGGCACCTTTCTCTCAGAGGTGCTTGCAGCGAGTACTGAAGGACCCTGAGACCCAGGAGCCGCATAGGGCAGGGCTGATGGAAGCCAAAGCTGTAGGCTCCACCCTGAAACCCCGCCCCATCCGAGCAGAACACAGAGACTTTTAAGGCTACCAACTCAGGAAAGCTGCGAAAATGCAGAGACGAAATAGATCACAAACGAAAGAAATGGAGGACAAAAAGCGACTGGATATAGAGTTCAAAACCACGCTTATAAGGTTTTTCAAGAATTTCCTAGAAAAGATGGATAAGACCTATGAGGACATATGAGGGATCAACTAGAATTAATAAGGAATCAACAAGAAATGATAAAGGATCAATAAGAAATAAAGAATACATTGACTGAAATAAAAAATATTATACGGAGTCCTAAAAACAGAATGGAAGATTGCAAGAATCAAGTCAAAGAGTTGGAACATAAAGTGCTAGAAGACACTCCTCCACAGAAGCTAGAAGGCAAGAGAATCCAGAAAACTGAAGATAATGTAAGAAACCTCTAGGACAACTTCACGCGAACCAACATCAGAATTATGGGGGTCCCAGAAGATGAGAGAGAGCAAGATATCGAAAACATACTGAAAGTAATAGTGACAGAAAACTTCCCCCACCTGGGGAAAGAATTAGACTTACAAGTCCAGGAAGCGCATAGAACTCCAAACAAAAGGAATCCAAAGAGGACCACACCAAGACACTTCATAATTAAAATTCCAAGAGCAAAAGATAAAGAGAGAATATTAAAAGAAGCAAGAGCAAAGAAGGTAGTTACCTATAAAGGAGCACCTATACGATTGTCAGCTGATTTCTCAACAGAAACCATGCAGGCCAGACTGGCATGGCAAGAAATATTCAAGGTGATGAATAGTAAGAACCTACAGCCAAAGATAATCTATCCAGCAAAGCTATCACTCAGAATCGAAGGTCAGATAAAGAGCTTCACTAATAAAAAAAAGCTAAAGGAGTTCATCACCACCAAACCAGAATTATATGAATTGCTGAAGGGGGTTCTTTCAGAAGAGAAAGTAAATAAAGATAAAATTATGAACAACAAATACATAACTATCAACAAGTGAATCTAAAAACCAAGGGAATTAAAAAAAAATTTGATGAACAATTAGAAAACAAAACAAAACTGTGGTACATCTACACAATGGAATACTATACTGTGGTAAAAAAAAAAGAGTTCTTACCATTTGCAACATGGATGGAAATGGAGAGCATTATGCAAAGTGAAAAAAGTCAGACAGAGAAAGATAAATATCACATGATCTCACTCATTTGTGGAATATAATGAACAACATAAACTGATGAAAAAAAATAGATCCAGAGAAAGAGAAACATCAATCAGAACATCAAACCTCAGGGAAGGTAGGGAACAGTGAGAGTAAGGGGGAGAGATCAACCAAAGCACTTGTATGCATGCATACAAGCTTAATCAATGGACACAGACAACAAGGGGAATGGGGATATGAATGGGAGGTTGGGGGGTAATGGGAGAATAAGGTCACATACGTAATACCTTAATCAATAAAGAAATTAAAAAAGAAAAAGAATCTGTAAAACTTGAAAACAATATGTAACATTTCAACGTATATAATCAATGCACCTGAACTATAAAGACATAAAAAAGATACAATCAGATTACAGAAAACCACAGCTCAAACTACACACACAAGAGCAAGTTCTATGTAGTGGTGGATATAGAAGCAAATTTAAAAGATAAAGTACAGAGATTAAAAATGCCGGTGGATAAAGTGGTGCTGCACAGATATGCTCCCAGGAACAAACTGTAATTACAACTAAATTACAGAAAAACTTCCTTAGTGGACGACTCGCTGGAGAGAACCCTTATGCCTGAGGACCAAAAGGGGAGACTGCATAGAAACTGGTAGGAGTGGCAGAGGGGCAAAAGGGCTGGCGGGACTCCCACAGACAGTACCGAGTTCCAGAGAGATATCTCAGCTGTGGGCGTTGCCACTGAGAACTCTAGGGTCTAATTCCCGAGCTGGGCCCCCCAGAAAAGGGCACCACAACTGAGAAGGGTAGTCACATAACATTTTGCTATGAAAAGCAGCAGGGTTGTTGTTTGCCAGGGAGAGACAGCTGGAAATTCAGGCACCCTCTTAAAGAGCCAATGAACAAAATTCCCTGGGGAGTCACCTACCTTGTGCTCTTGCAGAGGGAGGGCAGAGTGGACTGGAGCTGTGTGAACAGAAGCCAGGATCCGGGGCTTAGGATTTAGAGCTCAGAAGGCAGACACCCTGGTTTCCTGTGCTGAGTCATTCCCTTACACTGCAAGGTCATATTCCTCGCACAGGCATTAGGCCTATGGGGGAAGACAGCTAATCCCTCCATTGGAAAACACTTTGCCCCACAGCGCACAATTGCTGAGGCCCAATTAAGAGACAGAATAGCTGGAACTAGTTTGGCTCAGTGAATAGAGCGTCAGCCTGCGGACTGAAGGGTCCTAGGTTTGATTCTGGTCAGGGGCACATGCTTTGGCTGTGGGCACATTCCTAGTGTGGAGGAGGGGGGGTGCATAGGAGACAGCTTATCGATGTTTCTCTCTCATCAATGTTTCTAGCTCTCTATCGTTCTCCCTTCCTCTCTGTAAAAAAATTAATTATATATATATATATATATATATATATATATATATATATATATATATTTTTTTTTTTTTTTTTTTTTTAAAGAGACTTAGAATAACAATTAGCCTCCAGGCAGAAGCAACTACTGAACCCTGTTGAAAAAACTCTTGCCACACATATGTTTACTTGATTGAGGACAATTTAAGACAGAATCATGTA